GTGAGCTGCCTTCTCAGAGATTTTGAATCAGGGATGATTCCACTCTGGTGTAAGCCCATCTAATTGGGTGTTGCAAGGTGCTGCATATTTTCCTTGTAACATGTTTTTGCTGCTTCTTTGCCAGCACTAATACTTGTTTGACCCCCATCATGAAGCGAGGTTTGGGGAACAACTTTCAGACATCGTTCATCTTTTTTTTTTTTTTTTTTTTTTTAATCTGGCTTTGTTGTTTTAGCCAGGCTACCTTTTCAAGCCAGCTCTACTGAAGATTAGATAAGTGGAAATGCATAGCTTCCAGCAAACATAAGGCTGGGATTGCAGCAAGACTAATTTATATAAGCTTAATGCAACCTAAATGTTATGAATGTAACTCACATGCAACACTGATTATTTTTAAAATTACATGCTTGTAGGCACTGTTTTTTCCCATAAAACAAAGAAAACCTTGGAGGGAAGAGGAAATACCCCCCATCTTTAATAAACTAACAAAAATTTCAGCTACATATTAGTGAAACATCCAGCCCACAAGGATCTAGAACAAGAGTTGAGTCTGCAACCACTGACTTAAACATCCAGTGGTCAAATGTGCCTTTGTTACCCCTCCTCTCCTCCTTTTCCTTCCAGCACAGTCCTGTCATGTTGTTGGTTTTTTTTTTTTTTTGTGGTGATTTAAGTCCAAGCTGTAACTTGAGCATATTTATCTCCATCCAGCAGAGGGAGTGCTGGCAGCATTTCATAAAGAGTTTCTTGGCCTTTGTTTTAAATGTCTTTATGCTGTTGTCTACAGCCATGATTTTATTTGTATCTGGTCTGCCACCTCCGCATGATTATCTCCCACTATTGCCCTTGTGAGGCACAGTGTCATCTTTGTGCTTTTTGATTTTTAGTCTCAATTCTCTCCTTACTGGCTCATGGCTCTCAGGCCTGTGGATGCTGGACAAGGAAACTCAGGGAAATTAGTTTCTGCAGGAAAAAATAACTGCTTTTACCAGCTCCTATTGCAGTGTCATGGACCATCATGATAATTTCTGCAGCTCTGGCAACATCAGCTGCACTGGTTGTAGAGAAACAAGAGGATCTTCGTGCATGCATGGAATGCTTGCTGCCATCTGCAGCTTCTTAGGAAAACTGCCATTAGCTTACAGCAAGATACCAGTATCAGAATTTCTTCATGAAAAATATACAACTGATGGTGAATTCTTTCCATATTGGCTCATGGTGACACTGCCAAGATCTGAGAGCTGCAGGAAAACCTATTGTGAGAGGAACCTACGACCATCACAGCTTCTGTGTGCTGATTTGAAGAAAGGGCAGGACGGACACCTTGACAACCAGCAGTGAGTCATTGGGCATGTTGTCTTTTTTATGTAGTCCTGGAAATACAAGAGAAAGTCAATAATTAACGCGATCTCTAGAAATCATGACACCATAAATTGAGTCTTACTGTGTTTTCTTGATTTTGATAAAATAGCAGCCTTGATTTGTGTTCTAGTTTGCCTGTCAGTAGTGTGGCCAGTACTGTTCAAAGTCTTCATGAATGACCTGGACAATGGAACAGCATGAACTCTCAGAAAGCTCACAGACTGTGCTAGGAGGAGTGACTGACACGTTGGACAGCTGTGTTGCCAATAGGAGGGACATGGACAAGCTGGTCAGAGAGGAATCTCATGAAGTTCAGCAAGGGAAATCACAAAGTCCTTTATCTGCAGAGCTATAACCGCATCCACCAGGACGTACTGGGGACCAACTGGCTGAAAAACAGCTCTGCAGTGAAGGACCTCAGGGTCCTGTGGACAATAAGCTGACCACGATCTAGCAATGCACACTTGTGGCAAAGGAGACCAATATCCTGGGCTGCACTAGGAAGAGTTGCCAGTAGGTCTGCCAGAGGGTCCTTCCCCTCTGTTCAGCACTGATGAAGCCACAGAGATGATAAAGGACTGGAACATCTTTCACATGAGGACAGGCTGAGAGAGTGGGGACTCCTCAGCCTGGAGAAGAGAAAGAATAGGGGAATCTTATCAACGTGTGTAAACAACTGATAGGAGTGAAGATGACTGAGCCAGACCTGTCAGTAGTCTGTATTTCTCAGTCTCTGTAGTTCAGCACTGTTAGCTCAAGAGGCGATGCACACAAATGAAAACCAAAGATATTCCATCTGAACACAAGAAGACACTTTTTTACTGTAAAGGTGGCCACAAAGTGGAACAGGTTGCTGAGAGAGGTTGTGGAGTCTGTATATGTGGAGGTACTCGAAACCTGACTGGATGTGGTGCTGGGCAAAGTGCTGCAGCCAGCACTGCTTGCGCAGTGAAGTTGGATTAGGTGATTGCAAGGGCTTCCCTTCCAACCTCAACCACTCTCTGACTCTCTTTGTGTACCTCTCATGTCCTGGTATACACATGTATTGCAGTTGTGTTCAGCTGAGCACTCTCCCAAAAGCTGGGAGTGTTGATCCTTCTGAAGCCTTAACTCTTATAGTGATTCTCTCTTATGTGTGTGTTTTGAAGGAATGAATTTCTCTGCTGTTGTTTGACACAGGGCTAGCAGAAACAGGAGTCCCCTTCATGTGTCTGCTGCACCATTATAACTTACACTTCTGCACTATTCAGCCCATTTCTATCTTTTGTAACATTTCCAAGACACGATCCGTAGCGCCATATAGCCACCAGTTTATCAACAACTTTTTAATTGTCCTCAAGGGTGTAGAAAAATCCTTGTATCTCGATTCACAAAAGCGGTTTGAATGCACTGCCATCTGCTGGAAGTATCGTGTCTCATACAGGCTTGTTCGTACAGTTCACGCAGTTAGACATACAAGGCTTGTCTAAGTCTGGCTTTGAGGCTTTTAACCTACAGTTTCTGTATCTGCAGTCAAGGTTTCTTAGATGAGACTTTGATTTTAGTGTCCTTCTGCTTCCTCCTGTGCGAGGTTCTGAATCAGCTGAGGCTGGATTTGAATGTGGATTTGAATGCTCAGCTCTTACCCAGCGTGTGCTTCCTGGGTGAGATGGGGTGACGAGATTCTGGGTTAATGCTGTAAGGTCAAGAGGATTTGTGCCTGGATTAAGGAGCACCACGATTTGGATTTGTACCAGAAGTAATTGAGACATGAGGGTAGCGGGATTTGAACCAAGGCTTTCTAAGTACCCTGGATATGTTCAGTGAAAGACATTCACAGATACCATGAGATGGCTGGTATTCAGCCCTCTTCCTCACTCCGAAATAAGCAAGTTAATGCCAATGAGATACCTTTACTTGTTGGTATTCTTTTATAGGAACCCCTTCATGAAATGAATTGTTTGAAACATAGCTCATCTGGTAAAAGATGGACCTGAACCTGCATTAACCACAATGCTGATATTTTACTGCTGAGCTACAGACTGAGGATGAGTTTTGCTATTCCCTTGAGTGAAACTTTTGTGTATTCATACTTAGGCACTGGGGCTTTAAGTGTCTTTATGGGTAAGTGGCAGCTAAGGATTTTGTTTGGAGAGGGAAAGTTTGGGCTTACATTCTGCAGATTTTGGTTACTTGTAGTTGCACAGGATAACCCACTGGCATGTACTAACAGAAACAAGTGCTGGAGAAATATAGGCTTTATAGGTAGGTGGAGGTTTTCTGAATACCAGTCACATTTAAGTGTTGGATTTCAGCTGGCATTTGGGTGTTCAGGGTCTTGGCAAATTAGCCACTTATGCCTGACTGCTCCTTCTTCATTAACATAAATGTCAGTTTCACCTACCCTTCATCTGGTACATCGAACCTTTTTGGTAGAAAATAAATAATATACATACCTGCCATTTATACCATAGTTCTGTAAGTACGGAAGGTTATGCCAGTGTTTTCTTCTCCCTAGTTGTTTGAAGTTTGAAAAATTGGAGAAGTGGTCTAAAAATAACTGTAACTCAGTGCAGAAAAGTAAAACATAGGCAGTACTAAAAAAGGAACCACTAGCTGCACAATGTAGGAAACAGCAGATGGGAAAAAAAATTCAACAAGGGATCATACATGTACGTTTATAATGGCTTACAAACTGAACGTGTGTCAACACAGTCAATTTTCTGCCCTTTCTGTTTTATTATGTGTGGAAGAACCTTTAACATAGCTGGTAACATAATTTATCAAAAAAATTACAAAAATACGTTACCAGCAGTGTTACAGAATTCTTGCACTGCAGAGTATTGCCACTTGCTGGCAGCAAGAGTCTAAAAATATATTGAAAGAAATTATCTTAAGATCCGCTATTATTAAGCAACACCACAATTACATGCAGACATCATATGGAAATACATGTTTTAGGCTTGCAGAAGCATTTGAAGCAGGAAAAGGAAAAAAAATGAAAAACCTATTATTTGGTATAAAAATGGGTGCATGGGTTGAAAGCAACTGCAAGTAATTAGAGAAACAACAGCAGTATTTCTTTTACAAAAACAGTTGTAGTTTGTGGATCTTTGCCAGTGTAGAAACTCAAATGTGCAGCCTCCAGAGATACTCCTGAGATTTTGACCTAAAGCTTGTGAGGCACAAATGCTCCATACCTTGGTATCCACAGAAACATCTAATCAAAACTTACAGTACGTAGTGTTTAACTGAGTATGCTTTTTATGCTGTATGTCCACTTTCATTATTTCTGCGTGACAGAAATTTTTAATGCCTTTCTTTTAAGACCTTTTAACATCTTCAAGTCATTGGCAATGACATAAAATCCTTGACTTCATAACAGATTTAGTCTCTCATTCTGATTTTTACTGCTAGGGAATATAATAGCTGTTCTGCTTTTGAAACTGAGGCTTCACTCTAGCCCTTACTAAGAAAGCGTATGAATTCTTAGGGTAGGCTTACAGGTCTTAGAGTGTATTCAAAAATCGTAAACAAAACATGGATACTGATGACTTCTAAAATAAATGTTGATTACATACATTTTAGAAAGAGTTGTTCTGTTCCCTTTTGTAATTTTTTTCTTTTTTTTTTCTTTTCTTTTTCTTTTTAATGCATAGATTTCACAGAAAACAAGTTATGAAGGTCTCTCTCCAGAAACAAGCCTGCATCCAGATGCCTTTCTGGAGGAGGTAATAGCAGTTTCAAAGGAACAGACACCACAAGATTTATTTTCACATGCTTTAGAAGATTGCCAGAGAACCTGCATGACCGTGATTGACACAGATAACAGTGTAAAAGAACAATCCTGTAATAATGATACAGATCTATCATTGGCAACGCTGGGAAATGTTTTCACGGAACCACTAGCACTCCCTGAACAGAGCATAGAGACTGCTGAACTTGAAGTCAGTGATTTGTTGAAACCTCTCAGTGATTCCGAGAGTCCTAAAATGATAAACCAATTGCATGACATATTAGACTACCAGGGTCATGTCTTTTCCAGTGATATATCAGCAGATGAGAACAGTGATGCCCTTCCAGTAGAGCTTGTGACAGCTCTGAATTCCTTGTCAGGGTCTGTAATACAGTCTGACAGTCCTGTAGCACCAAACAAGAGACAGCTTACCGCTGAGGAAGAGCAGTTAAATTCGGAACCCAGTACTCCCCAGCAAGATGATGACTGTACACAAATAACAAACCTGTCGGAGCCTCAGCTTCCTACGATTCACATGGAAGAAATAAAAGCCTTAACAGGATCTAACTTGCAGAGGACAACAAATGAGCAAGTACATACGTAATTTAATCAGTATTTGAAAAGTTATGTTTATCAGAAAATATTTTCTATAATAGTCAAATTACTAGGAGATGCAATCTTAACAGGGAATAAACTGGCATCAGTAATTTAAATGCCTAATATATTATTTTCGTTTTACAGTATTATTTTAGTTTGTTTCTGTTTTGATATATCCATGTTATGAAACAGGCTGAACTTGCTGGGATGGGAAAATCAAGTGAAGTCAGTGGCTGATGTGGAAATCTAGAGTCAGCATGGAAGTTTCAAAAACTCCTGGTACCAATGCGTATCTTCTTTGTCTGACATAGTTTCCAAGGAAAGTTCCAAACCACTCTTCGGTTATTCCACTGTAACCCACTGGCATATACTAGCCAATTTTAACGCTAGATTTCTACCTTACCCTGTATTGTTGTTGTGCTTTTCCCATACTAGAGTACGCTGTTTTCTGCTTTCATGTCCCCCGCCACTGTAGCATACAAATACTTTGCAAGTATTACAAAAAGAAATTATAGCTGTGTCTTTCCCCCAGACTGGCAGGGAAACCCTTGCATTCAGGGATTTTTTACATGTACATTTAGAATTGCATTTAGAATTCAATAACACAAAGGCAGAAATGTAGAGGGGGATATGAAGGGAAAGCGATACTGTAGTGTCTTCCTATTTAGGTTATAGTAAAGGAAAGAGGACACATAGGGGAAGTAGGTTTATGCTGTGGAGTACAGTAGACATCCCTTGTAAATCTGGAATCAGGTTCTCTGTGTTGTCTTGGAATAATCTGGAGCTGAAAATCAACAATAAAGCGTGTATAACTAGATACTTTAGGTGGTTGTGTAGCCACTGTGCTTCCACAGAACGGCATAAAGCATCCCAAACCTGCCAGTTGTTTCAATCTATTGTTGGTAATATTAACTGAATATAACAAGGTGCAATAAAATGCTAATTTAAAGGTGCTGAAAGGTCTCTAAGGTAATAATCTCAGCAACTTACATAGTGGTGGTTTCTGAAGTTTGTAGCACAGCTCTGTGAAGCTGAATACATGTATATAGTTTTACTCAATATTACAGTTAAGGCTGTGGAGCAGGGTTCTTTGGGGATGTGGATCTATAATCTATTTAAAAATAATAATCAATTTTATTATTATTATTTTTTATGTCTCCATCTGCTGTTTTTGAAAGTAGAAAGTAGGCAGACAATTTGATGACAAAGAAGTCTAGGATATCTGTTTTAGTAACTGTTGCTTTCTGGCAGTATATTGTTCTCCTTGGTCGTTTCTCATCCTTGTTTATTCAGAGGATCTTTCTTGTGGTGAAACAAGGACTCAAAAGAGGAGAGCCTGTACAGCCCTGTAGATGTAATCGGCATGGTAGATAGCTCATTTGCTGTAATATATAGTCCCTTATAGAGCAAGTGACTTTTATTTTCTTTGAAATGTTTTCTTCTCTTTCTCAAACCCTTTTCTCATTGCAGATGTAATGCAATAGAAAGTACTGCATTGATTCAATTTTGTAAACTGAAATATTTGTTTTCACCCAAATGCTGTGTTACAATGCATCATGTCTTGGTCTGAGGGGACCGGATCTAGGTATGGGATTCGACTCCTCATCAGCCTTTCTGCTGAATATGTAAATTCTAAAAAGATCAGTGACTCTTCCATTTCCACCTGTGTCCCAGGAAAGGAGTATCAAGTTCTCCCACATTGCTGTGAAAGAATTCATATGCATGTGTGCTGAGGGTGTGCCCTAGGAGCTTTCAGCGTTAGTCAAGTGTGTAATAAGCTAATGAGTACTCAAGCCGTTTCAGCAACTTGAGTGATGCCTCAACGGCACGTCATACTCACTTGACTAAATTTGTGAATAAACTCAAGTAACTCAAATGAACTTCCATGTGATGACATGTAATTAGGATGGAATTTTTCTCACTGACTGTTAGAGAAAAGCCTCTGGCGTTAAGCAGTAATTTAAGTTCCCCATTGCACATCTTAGGATGAGGTGAATCACTCTGAAAGCTGCTGTTCCTCTTCATCTGTGGTAGGGGAACTGGGATGTTTGGTGTCATTTAGATGCCTGTTTTTTAGAAGGATGAAGGTAAATGAAGTGATTCTCTTATGTGGTGGCTGTAGCTTAGGGATGGTGTGTCTTCAGAAACAGCTTCTCAGGTGGTAGTTACTGAGCCTCAGGTGAAACATGGTTCCAAATCTTGTGCACTCTTCCAGACTTGTGCAAGAGTGGAATAAGAAGGGTTAGCTTAAGACATCGTAAATGTCACATATTTTCATGACAGGAGCTTGTGTCCATAGGAAACTGAAATGAATCTGCTAAGTTGTTTCACACGTCCAGCTAAACAACTTACAGATAACAATAATTTTGTTCCCTGTCGGCCAGGCTAGATTTACTACCTAAGTTGTGATTCTGAGTATCATACTTGCCATGGCTGGCTCTCCCACTACGTGGTGTGGCATTCTACTTTAGGAGTGCCTCTCCTATGAAAACGTAACGTCTCTAGAATCTAGAATTCCAGTTTCTCACTTAAGAAACTCTGTTGTCTGTGAGCACATATATCATTTATAACAAAGTGTTTTTTGAGTTCTTATATTATACAGCCCTCGTTTTAATTGCATGCTTACCAGTTGCTTGTAATATTTTTATTTTGTTTTATTTTTTTTTGTCACAGCTTGAGGGTGATCAGCAGAAAGGGAAAGAAGCAATTTCAGATTATTGGAGTGCCATCTCTAATGAAAAACAAAATGAGGAGGGAAGTTTGCATTCAGTGGAGGCTGTTGTATGTGCAGAAACCAATAAAACAGCATCAGGGAGAACAATGCAGCTAGAAAAGTCCTCCTCAATAAAGTGCAGAGATAGTATTTCCTGTCATCACCACACACTGGAAGAGACACAGCAGAGTATGTCTCACAATCACAATACAACAAGAAACAAACCCAAGGATTTTAGGTATGACGAAGTCATGTGCAGTATTCTCAAATTTTTCTTTTTATTAATCTAACAAATGTAATTCATACAGACTGCTCATTCCTCACATTAGTGATTTTAGGTGATCCAAAAGTAAAGGTTTTCCTTCTATTTAAAGATCTGGAAGTCGGTTTCTTTACTGATTTACCATTTATTCAGTACTGCCTAAGCTAGCATATATCCTAGCATGCTATTAGAAACTTCATTTTAAAATCAAATATGTTAACCTTCTTAGGTCTATCACAAATACCAATTAATATAGGAAATAAAATACTTGTTTTGATTCTAAACAAATCTCTTGTCAGTAAAATTCAGAAACCTGCTTCTAAAGGCAAGGAAGATCTAGAAACCAACATGTACCAAGAAATAACTACCAATGAGGATAAAAATGCTGAGGTGATAAGGAGAAGCAAAAGAATCAAAGATAAAATGAGTAAGATATTCTCTCATACTTATCAGACAGGTTATTTTTTTATTTGAAAAACTATACTAAATCAAATATAATTCATAGCCTTTACAATATATTGTGGCATGAATTTGTTTTAAAAGTTGGCATAAACATTTATTTTAATAATTCAAATTATTAATAATTCCCCTTCCTTGTTTGAATCTGTGTATGAGCAACCTAACAGTTGACTTGTAAACACAAGCTCATTAGGAATCATGAGAATTTTTCCAGGATGCATTTTTAATCATGGAATGAAACATTTATTGTATATTCTAAAAAGCAGAAGAAAAATGTTTTATTACAGAGTGAGAATGTTGATCATAATTCTGTTATCTAGTATTCAGGGTGCAACATTACTCTGAGGGCAATGGCATCCCCAAGAACTGACCGATACAAAGCAGTTTATTTTATTTTAAATGCCTGCTGCTGTTTTTCTGTCTGTTTATGTATAGGATTATAGGCCTTCGCTATCACATTCACTGAGCACTCTTTGAAGTATTCTTCCTTGCAGTATTCTTTGTCAGAGAGAAAGATTGCTATTTTTCATCTTTTGAAGGTGAACGCAAAGAAATTCTTTGGCTCATAGAGAAAATGTGCAGGAGAATACAGAGTTTCCACATTCACATGCTTACCCCAGAGCCAGCCTATAAGACTGGGGTATTAAAAGTTTGTTTTTCTTAAAGCCTGCTCAATCTGTTTTTATCTGTGCAGTTACAAACATTTAAACAGATTTAAAGGTTCAGAAGTATTTGAACTATAACAGCTACGTTATCTTACAAAACAAGAATAATTCTACCAGCAATTAATAATCTTTCTCTCTTACAGGGTTTCAGTATTCCCAGTGGAAGTACTATTTTTGTGAGATTTAAAGTTGCATGACTAACTGCTCATCTATTTCATGACTTAGTAGTTTCTACTGAAAAAACAGGCTGTTGTTTTTTGCATAATTTCTGCAGAAAGCGTTGCACTGCCTATAGAGGTAGCTTCATGTTAATCCATCTAACAAGTTTACTTCCCTTTTGCATCAAACCTAGCCATCAGGAGCCTGTGAGTCATCTTAACCTGGTAGTTCACTGAAAAAACAGCACCAGTAAAGTTTCATTTTGGGTCAGCAAGCATCACTTGTTGTATGCATGGTCTGACACGAGGAAGGTGGTAGGGAAGGTAGAGTACCAGTGGCAGGAAATAGGTCCTCTTGAAGTAACACCTAATTAAATTGGATTAAGTATAAAAAAATTGCACCGTGTTCAATGAATATTTGTATGGTGTAACCCCTTCTGAAATTCTTGGCTGATTTGAAATAACTTTGATTAAGCTATAAAATGATTAAGGTCTTGCAAGGCTGGACAGGTAGAAGAGAAAGACTTCTCATGTGCTCAGTTGAAGGAAGGTGCTGGGTAAGTCTCTAGCTACTGGATTCTAAAAATCTGTGCAGAGTTGAACACTAAAAAAGGTCGGGAGTAATTTAGACTGGGGCTTACAGTATGCCAGGATGCACAAAGCAGTGGAGTCATCAGGCTCCATAAGTTACAGCTCTAAGGGAACAATGTCTTTAAAGGTGTTGCTTAAAATTTCTATTCATGACACTCAGCTGGAGTTTTAGGACCAGCAAAAGGGCCACACAGGTGGAATTTTAGGGACACATCTGCCACAGACTGAGGAGGAGCAGTGGATATCGCATGCACTCCCTGCAAACCTAAGATTTTCCATTAGTAGATCAACTAATGGTCTGAGCCATTTGAGTTTCCTGCAGGCCATCTTCTTGTCTTACTCTTTTCTTTCTTTCCTCCCTGTTTTTCAGAAGAGGCAGCAGACACCATGCAATGAGAGGAGGTAATGGGATTGTGCTGCTGGTAAAGTGCAGGACAGCTCATCTATATATTGGAAATCATTTTGTCCAAACTGAAGAGCATAATGGGTGCATAATGCGAGACAGCATTTCCTTTGTAAAATAATAAACAAAAAAATAATGATGGTTTGTGCTTTTTACGTTTAGTATTCTGACTCCCAAGCAGAGATAATGGATAGCTAATGAGGGTTTTGGTCCAACTGTTTTCCTCACTGACAAATAGCTGAGCTGGTTGTGAAGTAATAGGGAAATACGAAAGAGCTAATTTCATTCCCTATCCTGGTGTAAATGCTCCTTGCTCGTAAAGGAGAGGTTTTAAAGCGTAAATGAGTACAAAATCTACTGATGAATATGGCCGTTAAGAAGAAAGAATTCACTGAGTTGCTTGATTAGCTATTGAAATCTGCTTATCATGTAATGGGTTGTAGCCTAGTATAGCAGTTTTATCAACTGGTGGGAAACAATGCATTTTGAAAAAATGTAATTGAAAAACAAAAGGCTAAACTTAGTACCTTTTTGCGAAGTTATTTTCCTGTGTGGTGAACTTAAGTTGGGAGATTTGTTATGGAATTCACTATGGCCTCTTTTATTGAGTGTGATTGTTATTTACTTGGTAATGTCTCTTTTGATATATTTATTTCTGCTAGATCAAATGAACATTTTCTCTCTCCAGAAGGCTTATCCACTAATTCTAATGCAATCTGAAGCCAAGGTAAGAGAGGAAATATATTTTTCTGTAAACAGATCTTTTAAATTATTTTTTTTTCAGGACTAGAATCCTATTTTGTAAATCCTTGTTGCCCCATATCACTTTCAAGAATAAATAGGAGGAATATTTTTGGTGAGACCTTACTTCATAGAGCTGTTGTTGAAGAAGATACAGACCTTGTACGTAACATAATAAAATCTGGTGCAAATGTAAATGCTCAGGATTATGCTGGTAAGTTACAATTATATTAGAGTACTATTTTCCAAATAAGTGTCTATCTATAACTAATATTATGAGTTTGTGCAGTGAAAGAAATTGTGGTTTTGTGACTGGTCAGTAGATTATTGAATTTTTATTAGTTTAGCTTGTTAACTCTTTTTGAGAAAGTTCATACATATAAAAGTATATTAGAAAATTTTGCTGAAAAAGTAAGCAATCAAAAACTTAGGCAAAGCTACAATTATGTTTACTTAACCTTAATTCAAAGATCTGTGTGTTCTCATCACAATACAGTCCCTTAAGTAAATAATCAACTTAATGTGCTTCACAGATTTTCTATTAATTCTTAGAGTGTGTCCATCTTGTACAGGGGCTAAGATTTCCAAATTGTGATGTGGGAACAAAAATACATTGTCCTGCAGTTAAAGACTGTTGCATAATTCAGGCATGTAACAGACCAAAAGTAAGCTAGACATTTTGTCTTCTGGAACATATTGCCAGATAAATTGAGTCAGGAGCAGATTTTGTATTTCCACAGCAGAGGACCCTGGCATTTGAACTCACAGAGTGACCTGTACATTAACTTCTGCTAGAGCTAGATGAGAAAGTATTTTGTTGGTGGGTTTCAAAGCCAGCAACTGACAACAGAGGAGCATTGATAGGATGTTGTCAACTGCAATCTGTGTGAGCAAGTGTACTAAAGTACAGTGGTTCCAGTTTTTGGTCTCATTGCTGCTTCCTTTTTCAGCCTCTGCACCTTTTGCCAGGCCACAGTTTCCTAATCCCCCAGACTCTGGCATCCGTCTTTTGATGTGAGAGGAGCACAACTGCACAAAATGTGCTTTGTCTGAACTCCTTGAAAAGATGGGAAGCTGACCTGGCCCTGCTCCTTTCTTTTACAGTGAGGGAGGTGTAAACAGAGAGGAATTGCCAGACCCGTGCCATTTTAAAATCCACTTTCATCTCACTCTGGAAAATCACTGTTCTAATGATTATATTCTGGCCCTGTGCCCTGTCTTTTCCTTTAAAACCCTCCACCAGTAATTATACATATCTTAACCTCATCTTTTTCATTCCTCCTCTACTTCATTACTCTGCTTCAGAACTTTACTGAATACCTGAGGTTGATTTTTTTTCACCTTTTATTTTCCAGACATCAGTATGAGGGATATGGAAAGCATGGGAGGGAGAGACACAGTCTGTGCTCTCAGTTTGAGCCTTGGTTCACAGTCCTCTTAGGGAGCAGAAGAGTATTTGCAATGAAGCTTGTGCTTCTCTATAGTCTGTGGAGAAACAAGTTGCTGAACTGTAATGATTGTCTATTAAACACATTCCAGGTGCAGTTTTTCAGGGGACTATTAGTATATCAGATAAAAGATACAGATGGGGAAATAGGTGCCTTCACTTAAGTGTCCTTCTTTCTCTTTTCCTTAACAGATTTCAAGCTTTATCTCCAGAGTTACCAGAGTTTCTTAATGAGCTATAGGTGCTCTATTATATTGTTAAAGAAAAATTCATCTTGAAGCACTGTCAGCATTAGGCGATGTAGAATTTAGCTGAGTTTTGAGCACTTGGGAACAAAGCCTAATAGCACAAAGTTTTTAGGCAACCCAGTGCAATATCCTGTGTACATAATAAAGCCAATTCTGTGCAAGTATACATTGTTCTGGGTTGGGTAGTGTAAAAGAGAGCCTCAAGAGTTTTACCTTTCCAATTAAATTAAGATAATTTCACTTAATGAGACCAGAACAGTCTTAATAAACAATTTAGTATGAAAATGAAGCTCAGACAACCTTCTAGTAATGGAAGATAGTTGAAGAGTAAGGCTGTCCATCAAAATGGTCTTCTGTAGGGAACGCTGGTTTGAGAGGTGGGAGACAGTAATTGGAAGATCCTCTGCTTTTTCTCTTTTCTCACTGTACAAAGAAAAATATAATAAATGTTTAAGGAGCTGACGTGAAGCTATGCTAATCCCAGTCCAAAGACTTGTGTTCTACCTTTTGGTTTTCCTCAACACCTCCTTCATGGGGTATAATTGTTCCATGGACCATGAAGCTAATACCGTGGCTTACTCCATACAGCTAGGAATGGATGTGGAACTTCAGTAAGGATTTTGTAGTGCTTTCTTTAGAAACTTGAATTTGAACCATTCTTGGATAGTGTTAAAAAACATTTTTGGAGATGTTGCCTTACTATTTCAATTTGCAAATATATATTTCTAAGATGTGGCCTTATACATAACTCCAGGTTTTTATTTTGTCTCCTCTTTCTCATGGCCATAAAAATAAAAAGAAATCCTAGAAAATTAACTTGTTCTTAAAATAGCATATACATTGCCTTCATGGAGAAATAACTAAGGTGGAATAATTTTTCTTTCTTTTTTTTTTTTTCTCAAAAGAAGTTTCAAAAGAACTATCATATCTAAACCTAACATTGTTACAGCAGCATATGGTTCTTCAGTGAGTGCAGATTTCAACAAAAGACTGAGAGCTCACAACACTTTTGATATTTTAATAAATATTTCTTTATACAATTTACTGTAAAATGCATCAGTTTTCAACTTGTCAATATGTCCTTTTGGAATATTTATCACGTAGAAAATCTAACACTGACCTGTTTTTTTATAAATTACACAAATGCGAAACACAATTTTCAGTTGTCAGGATTTCTTTTTTCATAGGCTGGACTGCACTGCATGAAGCAAGTGTACAAGGCTGTTATAGGATAGCAAATGAGCTTTTGAAAGCAGGAGCTGATGTTAATGCTAGAGGAAGCAAACAAATAACACCGTTGCAAGATGCAGTTAAGGAAGGCCATTATGAGGTATATTCCGATTTTAATGTAAATTGTGGTTTGGGAATAGAAATTATTGTTGTTAATCCAGAAAGTTACGTAGTCTTACAACATGTGGGTTTGTCCTTTCAGATTATGTGTTAATTCAGGAGTGAATAAGTCTTTTCTGTCTAATTTCTGTTCAAACGGTTGCATTCACAAGATTTATTTTATTTATTTATTTATTTATTTATTATTTTTTAGATTTTTTTGTTGTTGTTATTGTGTAACATTGTTTTACAAGATTTATCCAATAGCATAATGAGTTGTTTTTTATAACTGTTTGGAACAATGGCTGAAGTGCTGAGGAATAGGTTCCTGCTGTTTAATGCTACTTATACCTTATAATCACTTCGCAGAGTCATTTTATGACCTGAGCACTCTTTTGGAGTTTTAATGTGTTGGTTTTTTGTTTTTTGTTTTTTTTTCCATGTTTTAGTAAACGTGAATGTATGGTGTGCAGATGTGCAGATACAAGTATACACAGACATTTTTTGGGTAAAAATGCATACCATAGACAGTCATGAATACATGCCTGTGTATTTTAGATTTAATTAGATGTATATGTTAATTTAGATGTATTTTAGACAGAAAGGCAACTGAATATTCAGTGTGAATTAGCGTGTGAATTAGCGTGTGAATTAGTGTGTGAATTAGTGTGAATGATGATGGTAAATTGTATGGTTTCATGGTCTGTGTCTGAGTTCTAGATCCTCTTTCAGTCTGGTAGTGGTTGCCTCCACCTGCATGTGTCTGTTCTTAGGGTGGCCCAAGTTCCTGTTGTAGTTCTGCATGTTGCTTTTACCTGCTGCCTGCTTCTTCCTTTAGAAGTGCACATTTGCTGCCTAACATTTATTAATTTCCATGTTTTTTTTTAAAGAACTTTTATACGATATAATAAGATTTGTCCCTAAGCATTTACTCTCTTTCAGTTTCCCAATCAATGTAAGACTTAACCTGTTCCTCCCCAAGTACCTCTGGATGAAGAGAGGGCTTTTGGATAACATTTTTTTCTGAGACCAAGCCCCAGGCTTGGTTTCTACCTGCAGTCAAGAGATTGCAGACTCTTGGGGGTTCATGAAATATTTCTGAGATCATTGAAAGTACCTAAGCTACCGTGTCCATGGTCGGGCATGAAGGACTCTGCATCTCCACAGGTAATATTTAAGGATCAGCAACTTGAACAGTGTTGTAAAAACACTGGTCTCTGCTAGGTCACTTGGGACACTTCTGCACTGGACTTACATGGCAAGGTTTTGATAACAGGGGTGGCCTCTGTGAGCAGAGCCCAGCAGCTGCCCCGTGTCAGATCAGAGCCAGCTCCAGACAGCTCCAAAAGGGACTCGCTGCTGGCCAGAGCCAAGCCAGGAGCAATGCTGGCTGGGCCTCTGGGAGAGCAGATTAAAGAAAGGGGAAAAAAAAAATGCTGCACTTCAGCAGCTGGGAGAGAGGAGTGAGCAGCAGCCCTGCAGCCCCCAGGTGAGTGCAGCAGGAGGGCAGGAGGTGCTGCAGGCAGGCAGCAGCAGTTCCCCTGCGGGCTGTGCAGGGAGAGGCCCCTGGTGGAGCAGGCTGTCCCCCTGCAGCCCATGGGTCCCACATGGAGCAGATCTCCACGCTGCAGCCCGTGGGAGGGACCCCATGTTGGAGCAGGGGCAAAGGAAGGAGCGGTGGAGACGAAGCCTCAAGGGACTGACTGCAGCCCCCATTCCCCATTCCATTGTGTTACTTGGTGGGAGGAGGTAGAAGGCAGAAGGTAAATGGGGGTAGAAGGTAGATGGGGGGAAGGTGGTTGTATTTTGCTTTTATTTTCTTCACTGCTCTGGCCTGACAGTGATAGCTCATAAATTATATTATTCTCCCTATTCTGAGTCTGTTTTGCCTGTGACGAAAATTGGTGAGTGAGCTCCCTGTCCTTGTCTCTGTCCTTTAGCCTTTTCTATTTTATTCTCCTTTCCCTTTGAGGAGTGGGAGTGAGAGAGTGGTTGTGGTGGAGTTTGGCTGCCCAGCTGGGTAAAACCACCACAGCATCAACGTCAATCAACACAAAGCTGAGTTACGAGTTATCTGAGCTGCCATATTCACAGGGAATGGTACAGCACAGCAGGGCTCAGTACAGTTACATCACTGTAGTGGTCCAGCAGGCTTAATTTTTGCTGCTTTGGTAATATGGCATTTGTACATGCTTCTTTAAAAGCTACTTTTTCTGCGTTGTGTTACTATTGTAGATTGGAAACACATAATTTGACTGCCTCATTCCTTTCCCCACCTGCAATATTGCAAAATTAATTTCTCATTTCACAAAAATGGTAAGCATATGGAAGACTTCAAGACTTTCTCATAGTAAAATTAAGGAGGAGAGCATACACGTGTGATGTGCAGCTCAAAACCTTGTTAAGGAAGAAGTTCTCAACATTCCTGTATGAAAGAGTTCATAGATTTGGGACAACTTGTGAAGCCCAAGAGGGTTTTTGCTGTGAATTGAATACTTTTTTTTTCATTTGCTTTGTTGTTAGAAGAATGTATGAATTGAGCAAACTTTGCTAGCAATTCTGTCAGTAGCAATCTGCTTAGAAGGAATGAGGGACTTTAAATGCATGGGTGAGGGATAATAGATGATAATAGAGGTGGAACAGAGAGAAAGGCAAAGGTACAAGTAAAAACACACTAGTGCTGGAATAAGACTGCAGCATTAGCCACAGAAAAGAAATCATCAGATTGTAAATTTTCCATGTTTTAAAAAAGTGTTCTTTAAAGCTAGGTGGAACATTTTGCCGAAGTGATCGTTTCGTGAACAACAACACAATCAGGCTTTGCATTTTGTAAAGAAGCTGAAATGTCAGTAAGACCGTCTGAATGGGTTTCCTTTGACCTGATGTACTTTATACATCTGAAATAGCTGCCAATTCCCTCTGCAGGCACAAGAGTCTCAATAAAGTACACACTTATAGTACACCATATTTTCTTCCAAAGTAGATGTCTTAAGCAGGTAAACTGACTCATATCCTAAAATTGCTTGTTATTTTCCACCAGTTAAGGGCTTAGGGAGTGATGAATCCTACCTTGTGTTTTGGGAGGCCTTGGCTTAGTGGCATCAGGTTAATCGCTGGAAACAATTTTTAAGCATAAAAACAAGATTTTAGAATAATTATGCGTCTAGGAAAATACTTAAGATATATTAACTAGTAGAGGGAAGGACTATTTATTGTAAGCTTTAGATTTATTTTTAGTTGCTCATGTTCTCAAGTTCACCAGAGAGAAACACGTATAAGGAAGGAGTATGAAAAATATTGCCAGAAGAGAAACAATCTCAGAAAAAGCCTTGCTTTTCTAGGTGGCAGCATTATTGCTTTGGTATGGAGCTGATCCCTTATTAAAAAATGAGGGGGGGAGATGTGCATTAGAAGAAGCTTCTGACCGATCTATGAAGAGACTGCTTAAAAGCTATCTACTAAAATCGAGAGGAAATTCAGTATCAGGTGGGTATCCTAGTTTCATTTAGGATAGAGTTAATTTTCCTCCTAGTAGCTGGAATGGTGCTGTGGCATTTAGGATGAGAAGAGTGTTGGTAACATGCTGATGGTTTAATTGTTGCAGAGCAGTGCTTACACCAAGCCAAGGATGTTTCAGCTTCTCGCTCTGTCCTGCCAGAGGGCAGGCTGGGGGTGCAGCAGGAGCTGGGAGGGGACAGACCCAGGACAGCTGACCCCAACTGCCCAAAAGGGCATCCCGTACCCTATGGGGTCATGCTGAGCAATAGATAGGGGTGGCTAGCGGGGTGGGGGGCCGGACTGCTCAGGGTTAGGCTGGGCATCGGTCAGCATGTGGTGAGCAATTGCATTGTGCATCACTTGTTTCGTACACATTATTATTAGCAGTACTATTATCATTATTATTATTATTTTCCTTTACTTTCTATCCTAATAAACTGTCTTTACCTCTACCCATAGGCTGCCATTTTTTTCCGATTCTCTCCTCCACCCCATGGGGGGTGAGGGGAGGGTGAGCGAAAGGCTGTGTAGTGCTTATCTGCCCCCTCTGTTAAACCACAACAGTGGAGAGAATTGTGCTGACATATTATCGTTATTTAATGAAGGAACTCAGAACATCCATTTCACAATATTTCCCTAAATATAGCTAGTAATTCCACGGACTTGACTTTAGTTAAGGCTTGGCCTTAGCTGCTGATGTTAGGGCAGGGACTAGGGTTAAGTTACAATTTAGGGGTAATAGTGTAGCTGAACTACCATAAAGGCTGAGTTTGCAGGGTGTTGGTAGGAGAATGTTAAGACTAAGGCGAGAGTTGGATCCTGTACAGTCTTAGGAGGTAAGTTGAGAAGACAATTCAGAGGGGGCTGTTTGGTCAGGGGCAGATATAAAGTAGTGCCACAAGGTAAGCCTTGGTTAGAGGTGGAATTAGGACTGTTGGACCCTGATGAGTCTGTTTGGGATGTAGCAGATTTCAGTGTGGAAGGAACACCCAGAATAAACTTAGAGTCAGGGCTGTAAGAATCATAGAGTGGCTTGGGTTGGAAGGGATCTTAAAGAACAGCTACTTCTGACCCCCCTGCCATGGATCACTAAATCAGCTTGCTCCGGGCCTTGTCCAACCTGGTCTTGAACATCTCCAGGGATGAGGCATCCAGTGCTTCTCTGGGCAACCTGTGTCAGTGCCTCACCACCCTCTGAGTGAAGAATTCCCACCTAATCTCTAATCTAAATCTCTCCTCTTTTAATTTAGAACCATTCCCCCATGGTTTTAAAGGACTAAGGAGTGGGCAGAAATTACTGGCTTCAAATATGAGGGAAATAAAAATTAAAGCTGCTGGCAGGGATTGCTGTACTTAGGAGCTTAAGGCTGCTGTACTATGGTTTAAGGCTGCAGCCACCAAAAATCATCTTGATATTCTGATTCTTACAAAGATTGGTGGGATAGGACTATGTTCAAAATTAGGGTTTGGATTAGGATTTGGCCTAATCAGTGTTCAGTAGCTGGGCCATTAGGCTTGATTTAGGACTAAGACTGGCAGGAGCCACTGGACTAACAGTGATCCTAGGACTAGAGTTAACATCTGGTAAGGGAGATTCCCAGAACTGTTAGAAAAAGAGTTGCCATGCTGTGAAATGCCTGTTAAATTTGAGGCTGGTTCCATCATAGGTTGTTGGACAAGAGTTGGGGTACATGTTGTAGTGAAAGTAACAAAGGGTGATGAGCTAGATTTTTGTTCAATATGGCGTGGCCAGTCTAGTTTTAAGAATACATTGAGAAAAAAATGAATAAATTGACTTGGGTGGATTAAATAAGTATATTAATATCTAAGGCCAGAACTTGGTAGCTGCTGTACTCTTTTTTTGCCATTTTGTCAGCATAGAGAGTAGGTGGAATGCTGAAGCAATCCACCAGCAAGGCACTGAACTGGTGCTAGGAAATATCCCTCCTTATTTGTATACCAATGGCCTGGCTTTAGCTACTTCATTCCCTTCCCTGCCAAAGTATGGTATGCAGGGAAAGACATAAGTATCCCATTATCACTGGCTTCAGAAAAGTCTCTTGGGAACCAGAGGTGCCTATTTTAAGTTAGGGAAGCATAGTAGCTCCTCTAAGTTTCAAAAAGAGTTGCTCAAATCACTGATCTGAAAAATTTGGAAACATAATGTCAAACTCCAGTCCATCCTCTCCTGGTTTGTACGAAGTCCCTTCTGCAGTGAAGATTGGGCTCCGATATTTGGATATGTATTTGATGTATTGGTATGTTTTATATTCTATTAAAAACCCTGTGGCTTAGTAAGTTTCTGGACAGCTAAGTGTGGTATGTACTGTTGCACAAGATTTTGGACACAATACACAATATGTACAAAGCAAATAATTATGGTCCCTTTTCAGTAATCATTCCCTTCTGCCTTATTTTCTTTTCAGGTGGAGATGATGCAGAGAATACATTAAGTGCTCAAAGTGTAGATGATATAAATCTGCACCAGGTACATTTTTACAAAGATGTACAAAGAATTCTGATGTTAATTTGATGCTAGACTGTTACGGGATTGCTAGCTCTCTTCAGGAAAATGAAGCAGACAACTGTTTCTGAAATGTGTTTCAAAAACAGCACATAATGTACTAGATGCTTTGTATCCAGTAGGGACTGAGGCAGGGTGACATTCAACACTATGCCAAATCTTTGGCAAACAGTTGCTGATCCTTGATGTTACTTGGGATAAGCTGCAGCCTCATGAAGATGCAAAGACAGAGGCAATCAGCTGTCTCTCGTGAACGGTGGTTCTTACTGAGTTTTTGCAAGTGCTGTAGTGGTAATTTACAGCAACCGTGGTACATCGGTGCCTCTTAGTAGTTGTAGAAACCTGACTGAAACTGCAAAATATTGTCTGTCTGGTAGTACTTGGATAGCCGCTTCTTGAAGACATGCATTAAATTGTATTTATTTGTTTTTGATAGGAGAAAATTAGGCAGCTACTGCCTTGCTCAAGGTTGCAGATAGCACAGTTCAACATACTAAACTTACTAAAGCATCAAAGTTTTTGCTTAAAATGAACAAAGAAATTTGTTAAAATTTACAAAAAAAAAACAAAACAAACAACAGTTCTTTGGGATAGTGAAGGCAGAAAACTGAATGGGAAAAAAAATTAAAAAATACACATTCAAAAATGCAAATATATCTGTTACTGATATAACAGGCTACAGACAAAACTAAAACTGCTCAGAAATAGTGTTACTCAGAGTTAATAAACATGAGAAATATTTGTCTTCTTTATACCAAGGATATTCTTCTTTATACAGGTATACCTGTATACCAAGGAACAATTAAATTACAGAAAACATGTTTCCCTGATGCTGGATGTAACAAAACAGGCATCACTGTTGTTGTTTCCTGTTATAATAGCTGCATTCCAGTTAATTCAGGAAAACTGAGCTTGCTAAATTGGTCAGGACTGCAACAGGAACATGAATTCAACAGTGATAACAATGAAAATTAATTTAAAAAAAGGAAAAAGGCAGAAATGGCAGAAGTTCAGCAATTCTGCCCTAATAGGGGAGGTGATCAGCAGTTTGTGTTTCTTTGCATCATTGGTTTCTGGATAAAAAGTGTCTGTACAGCATTCGGAGACTACTGATTTAAGAGAACCTGATTCTCAGTCAATATTTGCTTTGACTTCCTCTCACAATGTATCTGCTGTAAAGTCATAACAGGAAATCCAAGAATTAGGAGAGTGATCAATGTGTCAAGCAGAGTAACAGTAATAGTTTGACTGATGGGAATCTAAATACTGATATGAGAGTACCTTCAGATCAAATCATTTCTTTGCAAAACTTGACAAATAAAGTTAAATTTAATGTTGATGGAAATGAAATGAATAGGATCTGATTTTAAAACTTTCTTTGCCTTTGTTTGTACAGATTTCCTTACAGACAGATGAGTCTGTACTAGCAGGTGCGAAGCTTACCGGTACAGGGAGTGCAGACATATTGCAACAGACTACTGTAAATGAGGTGCAAAACATTCATATTGATATATTGGATGATGGAACCAGCTGCACTGAACAGACACCTCAAACAAATACAGAAGCAATCTTAGCACGTGAGCTTTCAGCAGCTACTAGTGGAGAAAGTGTTTCTAGAAGTCTTTCTAATTCTACTGGTGGTGCACTAAGTACCATTGAAGAAAAAGCTCCACAACCAGAGAAAGGATGGAGAATCCTGCTTAATGCAGAAGAAGGTGCTGGAGGCTGTCCAACTGAAGCAACTGAAAATGCTAATAGTATAGAGATCCATTTTACAGCTTTACAACTTCATGAAAATGAAGCACATCAAATTAAACATAAGAGTCAGGAGCTTCAGGAGGCCAACTCAAAATCAGGTTTGCATTTCAGTATTAAGACAGACAAGAAAGCTCCTTATTCATTTCAGACTGTGTAAAATGCACAGAAAGAAACCTCCCAGAAAATGCCTACAATGTTTTTATTTGTAAATAATTATTTTATCTGTTTGTTATAAGCATTCTGTGTATTTTACTTAAAAAAAAAAACACCAACAAAACACACACAAAAATAAAAAAAAAAATCACAGCTGTGGATTTCCAGAGCATGTTTATCGTCATGAATAAATGGCAAAAACATAGAATATGTTTTGGTACAGCCCACCATGCCAGATTAACTATTTGGTCATTTTTGCCTTTTTTTTTTTTTTTTTTTTTGGGGGGTGGGGGGGAGGCTATTTTATATACATGTCTCCATTGTATTTATCAAAATGTGACCAGAATGTTTGTTACATTAATCATTAATTAGAGTGAATTTCTTAAGCACCTTATTTTTTTAATACTTATAAATCAATAAAGGCCCTTTTTTCACAAAAGAGTCTTTGACTCTTTTGGATTCAATCTCAGTACATTAACATACAGTGAATAGTGAACAAACTATTTATTATGTTAAAGTATTTTCAGAAATTGAGTGAGTACTGCAGTGGTATTTTAACCTAGACTAGGTGGTCATTTTAACATAAATTTTAACATCATTTAACACATTACAGTGTATTAAGGCATAGTTATTCCAAGTTCTTTTGTTAAAATGACAGGTGAAGGAGGGTTTGCTGGAATAGAAGACATTGAAGAAAATGAAGAAGGAAGTAGAAAAAGCAATGTGTTCTCACAGTTAACTGAAGCAGAAGAAATCCAAACTAAAAAAATGAGATTAGACCTACAGGAGACAAGCCAAAAGACAGACTTGTGTTCTAGTAGCAGTAAATACAAGCTTTCATCTAATCAATCACAATTCAATCAAGCATCAGAACAGCTAACGTCTAAGAAATCAGGTGAAAGGTTAATTATATTTTATTGAAACAGTGTTGCTGTTTTCTTTCCCAGACATACAGGAGGACGGCTTCTTGTAATACCAGAGCGAAAGCATGGAAAAATATGAATAGAATACTAAACAGTATTCTTAAATAGTCTTGTGAGTTACAAATACTTGAAATATTGCCAGAAATCGGTTTTACAGAATGGGTATTCTTACTCTGTTTTATGTACATTGCATTCATCAGTCTCTTCAGCGTGGTAATTGAGGAGATGCAGAATCATACCTGGGAGCTTTAAATAACACTAAATTGATACCCAGGTAACTAAGTTACTTAAATGAGAGTTTGATACTAAATTGGTCTTCAGTGAGGTATTTAATATATCAGGTAAAATTGCCTCTCAGTGTACCTGACACACATATATTCACTTATATTTTTATATACTATATATATTAGGCACAAATTAGCATACACTCAGGCTGAACCTACTTCAGTAGGAGGCTCTAGTGCCCTGCAACAAGCTCTTCTGTCTGCTCATATATTTTTCTGTTTAAAAGTTTCATCACATGTGTTAAGACTTGCATTTATTTTGAAGTCTTGCCTTCACAATAAAGCCCTGATCCAACAGATTATTCATCATAACCCCCAAGTATTTTTCAGTTACATCTTTTTGATGTAAAAAAAAAAAACAAACCACGTTTTTTTTTCTGGAACCACCATAGTACTCAAGACTTATAAAACCAAAACCCATCGTTCAGATGGGATGCCTCCTCTTTTAAAACCTTTGAATGTAATGTATCTGGACTGCTGATTCAGAAATGTTTATCTTCATTACATTTTGGCATTCTTCTTAATTTGTGTTGAAATGAGAAGTACAATGTCATTAAAAGACAAGAATTCCTTGTGTAGCTTTGCCTAGATGCAGAATGGAGTATTTGTCTTCATTGTTATCTCAGAGAATTCTGAAATTTCTGTCTGGTAATTACAAGTTTGAGGAATTTGTTTTTGCTTTAATATATCTGTAAATACTGCCTTTTTAGGATTTTTGCTGGCTGTGACTATTTCCTTGTATTCCTTTGTTTTTTCATATCATTCTTCTACAACTTACTTGTACTTTCTATTATACACATTTATATACACACTGTATACATTTTTTCATTTTTCATTTAATATTCCACTCTCTCCCAGGCCTCTAACCTGGCCTTCCTAAGCCAGACTTGACATGGCTTCTGTGAAAATCAGTTGTGTCCTGCAAAATATTATTTTTGTTTCTACCTTTGCTGGCAACAATTGACTTCCTTTTGGTGACTTTGATCTTGATGCTTACTAGTTTTTTATGTTGGATTAAGGAATCACCAACTAATCTTGGCAATGTCCTGTAACAGTCATGATGCCATGACAAAATTAACAAGTAAACTACACAAGGTTCTTGCTGATCTTTTCTCTTTTATGGTCACAGTCTTCTTGTTCTCTTCCATCTTCAGTTGTACAGAATTCTGTTTCCTTATTCTGTCTCAGGTGGTTTCTGTTTTTCAATCCATCCCAGGTTTCTGTTGTCTTGAACTTCTGGACTGCAAGCTCTTGTATTCCTTTGGAAATGAAAGGGTGGGTGGAAAGGAGTCAATGCTTCTTTCTACTTAATGTTCTGCAATATTTGGCAGTGTCAATACTTAGCTTTCCTATCTCCAAATTGGTTCTTCCTGTTGTAGGAAACACTTTTTGCATCATTCTGGAAAGAAAACATGGCATAATTGATACATGGCACCATCTGCTTCTAATTATTGCAAGAATAAACACTTCTGACTATCATTCCTTTCCCTCTGAATGTCCTTCTCTGCAGCTTCTATGCTTCTGCTCAGTATTTATAGTGAGGTGTGTACACCTTGATACATTTTGGATTTTATTTTACTTTACATGTTTTATCTCCTTTACACATAATTCAGAATTTTAATAAACTTTATCCCAAACATGGGTCTTAAATTTTGGTCTCCTGTGGAATATCATTTCACAGATCACTTTTTTTTTTTTTTTACTTTTTTTTTTAAGTTTGTTTTCAAGAGAGATTCTACAGGTAGTATATATTGTTTTTTTTTTGTTTTTGTTTTTTTTTTTTTTCTGCTAAAATTTAATTATTTCCTTCATTGCAGAAGAATGTTGCTGTTTGACAGGTCATGGGAGAAAATGTAGCCCTTTTTATAACTGAATGCATTAATCACTTTGGAGACTGGGAAAATGGCATTCAGATGCAGCAGAAAAAGTGGAAGATAGGATAATGTTTCCTGGCTTGCAGCATTTTCACAGGTTTTTGTTGTTTCATGCCTTTTCTTCATTAACTGGCTTTTGTATCTTAGCTGCTTGTTCTGTGTCCCGGTGACCTTCCTTATGCGATTTTATTTTCGAATAAATAATTCCTATTCCTAAATGGACACATACACAGTACCACTTTTCTCTACATTCAGTCACCTGTTAGGGTCTCAACATTCATACTCTGCTTACAGAGAATTGATTTGTGGGAAAAATTACTCAGACCAGTGGTGAAGTATACTAATATCTGAAGAAGCTGTTGAAGTATTGCTGCTTAATCAAATCTAACTTGGCTACTGTAACCTCTCCACCTTGTCTTTGTTCTGGCAGTTACTATTTGCCAAGATCCTGATCCTTCCTGCTTATGATACACCTGGCAATGTACTTCATGGAAAACTTTATGATTCACATACCAATGTCGCATTATGCTTTTGCAAATGTTTCCTAACAAGCATGAAGAATACTGTTGTGCATCACAACTTAACTGGAAAACTTTGCAATTATTTCTGTTCACTTGCAGCCAATATTGCTAAGGGTCATTAGCTTAATGTGCTGTTGTGCACCCTTTTTTTTTTTTTTTTTCTCCTTCATCTCCATAAAGAGTCCCTAGGACATTTTCCCATGAATCAAAGGAAAAAAAAAAAAAGTAAGGACCAGAAATTGGATGATTGCTTTGGGAGTTCAGACCCAGAAGCTTTTAGACAAAATACAGTACATTATCTTACAGAAGAGTAGGTCTCAGGCTGGAGTATTTCAATAATGTGCTCCCTTCTGCATGCTCTAGAATCATAGTTTTCATTTGAAAAAGAAAGTCTTCAGCTATTTTGTTTGCCAATTCAATGTGGGCCAAGCACATTCATTACAAAGCTGGCTGCCCAAATGCCTTTTGACAGGTTATAAATGGCCTATGTTGAGCTCTGTGCTGCCACGGTCTCACTGCAGCAGGATCTGAATGAGCTAAAGTTAATACGGATATATCCTCACCACATGTTTATCTTTAATATATTTGCAATATATCTTTCTTATGTTTCCAAACAGTCCTAGATGACAAGTTCGGTAGTTTACAGTAAAGAAAACCTTGGAAAGACAGATTTTCCATGAGGCAGAAGGAACCTAAGCTGTCAAATCACAAAAGATGTTTGATAGCAATGGTTACTGGTAACTGAAAATATCTGAGAAGACAACTTATCTGATGAGAAAAGGAAAATGGGGATGCAAGGACTAATTGTTCATATAAATATCCATAAAAAAATGGATAAGATCTGCAAAATCCTTACTTGAAGCCTGTTTTCCTTTTTTAGATGCGTTTCAGATTTTTAAGAAATTGGGGAAAGGACCAAATGAATTATTATAATTATAAATATATATATTTTTTGAAACTCTGATAGCACAGTATTAAAACAGTAAGAACAGGATTTTTTTTTTTTTAAAAAAAGCTAATGTGTGGTAGAGCTTTTGAAGATTTATACATGCTTTGAATATTGATACATGTCTTTTGGAGGCCTTACTCTATATGTAGAATTAATACTTTTTTAATCTGCTTTTTTTCTTCGTATTGCCTCCAATTTTATGCCTGTTACCTGAAGCCTGAGAATTAGCACCTATTTAAAGCAGACATATTTTTTTTTGTGAACCAATAAGAAAAGGATTAAATCAAGTTTATTTACACTCATGAGTCCAGTGCTGCACCGGTTTAATTAAAAGGCAGTTCAGCTGTGTTAGTTGACATTAATCAAAGATATATAATTTGTCTATGGGACTTTGTCACATCACAGCTGTAGAAATATCTTCTGTAGAAATGTATGGCTTCCATAATAAAGAATCCAGAATGGAGAAGTGGTAATGGTCAACACTCCACTTTTATGTACTTTCTTAAATACTTTAATTTGCAAATTTAATATATCTGGCAGGTATGCCTGGTAACTTACAAGAAATTTGTGGAGAAATGTGACAAGCTTCCTACCATGATATATTATAAAACTTTTCGACCTTGTTATCTTTTCAGTTCATCCCTGAACTGTTGTACCCTTCTTAAGTCATCTAGATGTGAACTGTATATGTTTTGGCATAGAATGTGTTTGTTTTCCACACTATTATGCAGTACTTTTCTAAACTTTTGATATAGTCAGTTAATAGTACTGAATAATTAAGGTTACAGTATTGCACAAATTTACATTAATCCAAATGAGTTAGGAAATTTAATCCCTCTTATAATTAAACGTTTTTTATTGTTCATGTTGAGCATCCAATATGTGTTCAGAATCTCCCCTATCTAACAGAAGGGAAGATGTAATTTTACATGTTACCTGTAAATACAACAGGTGAATCAAAGAAGAGAAAGAAAAATGAAAAAGGAGAAACTAAGCTGCATATTGCTGCTAGGAGAGGAAATTTGTCTTTGGTGAAAACTCTGATATCATCTGGAATTCTTGTCAATGAACAGGACAATGCAGGTTTGAATATGGCTCTCATGAACTTGTTTTAAATATAATTTTATGTAATGTGTATATTTGGTTTTATGTAATTCATATAATTTTAATATAATTATGTATTTTTGATTTATTTTTGAGATTCTTTAAACTGTTCAATCACAATCCTGTAGAAAATAGCTTCTCTTCATTAGTGTTACATACTTATTAAATAAACACAGTTTGTATTTTTTTGTTCAAATGTTTTTATAACAATTACAAATAAGACATATTAATTCTTGGAAATATAGTGTTCAGCAGAGCAAAGGTGCTGTTATGACTGCATATTAGTGCTTATAAAGTCATACATGCACATGTACATTTATCACATACAGCATTTATACAAAGCCCTTATAGTGATGGGGTGTGTGACAAACTGTGGAGAGTTGTTCTATTTTTTATATTTATGATTACTTTAAACTCATTTCTTCTCTCCTGATGTGTGGGCTTACTGATAAGGGTAAGTGTGTCTACTTTAGTATTTGATTCCAAACTTTTCAGATGGGTAAGGGAGAAGAGGGGAGGAAGTCATTTAGTCAGTTCAAGCAGTCAGTGAACCTCTGGATTTGTGCCGCAGAATGGAGCAAATATAGCCTTTCCCTCAGCAGGGACATTAATCAGGATATGCTCCTCTGTTGAAGAGCACACTGTCAGAGAGCCTATGGAAGGTTGGTAACCCTGAGACCTACAGCCTCTATTAAATTTGACTGGAATAGACCAGTGGCCTGGGAAGTTCAGAGGGAGCTGATGCTCTTGATGAGTATATACTCATTTGTGAAGCACAATCACATGAATCTTATTTCCTTAGGAAATTTTCCTTGGGAAATAAGGGTAAAAATCATATAAATTTCTTACTCTTTCTACTCCACATTTTTTGTTTGTTCTATTGTTTCTAGTGGTGTAGTAGAGAAGTAAAAAATATTTTTCTAGCTAATGCTGGATACAGTTTTCGCTGAAGTAAGCTGAATTACACGGGAAATAATGTACATTATTAGTATGGTGATTCTTTGTTTAAAGTTAGGCTTAAAGATAATAATCCAATGTGTATTTTAAAGCAAACACCGCAATATTGTGTAATTGCTATTTAATGATTTGTGTGGATGTTTCCAAATCAGATCCATGTCGTCTTGCTTTGATTAGGTTGGACAGCACTTCATGAAGCTTCCAATGGTGGTTTTACTGAAGTGATCTTAGAATTACTGAAAGCTGGTGCTAATGTTAACAGCAGAAACATGGATGGTGTTTTGCCCATACATGATGCTGTTTCTGGCAATTATTTGGAGGTACATTTTTCTTTTAATTACGCTACCTAAACCTGATGTCCAGGAGTGGGCCAGCAAAGTAAAATGCTGGTTTAAATAAGAAAAGTCAAAGTTACTAATACAATTTTAGTATTTTTAGTATTTTAGTGTATATTAATTAGGAAATAATTCAACATTCTTCGAGTTGATGAAAATGAGAATAATTATTATTTTTCAGTAGTGACAATTGAAGCTGTACGATCAATTGACATTTTCAGTCCAGTGTACAAATCAGCAAAGTTCAGAAGCAATAAATAGTTCTCTCCCACAAATTGGGTGTCTTTAAAATAATACTGAAACATTGGGCATTCTAAATTTGAATTCTATAGATGTGTTTTGAGTTAGATAATTTTCCCATTAAAGTAGATTAAAGCAAGCATAGTTTAACTCTCAAAATATAATTTTTAAAGGAAAATCATATTTAAAGACAAATGATGGATTTTTCCAAAAATTCAATCATTTCAGGCAAACATATTTGCCTGATTCGACCAAAAATCAATGAATAATTCTGGTACACCTACACATCCATATTTTGATATTTAGAAAATTAATGAGAAGAATTTAATTAAGTTTTCATGAATACACTTCCTATTGAAACATACAGGATTTGTAAAGATGTTTCAGAAGACAAAATACTGACTAAGAGATCCAAGATGTTTTGTAGGCTAGGGAAAGACAAAAATCTTTACCCATTAATGAAAAACTGGTTGCTTTTTAAAACAGAAGGCTTTGCTCATTTTTTGATGGTGGTGGAGGTTTTTATTTGTTTTTTATTTGTTTGTTTGTTTGTTTTCTTTACGCTATGTAAATAACAAGTTAAAGAAGTATCACAATAACCAAAGAAAATACCAGATTTATTTAAAAAGCAATATAAAAATATATTGTCATAATTTTTCCCTTTTGTAAATCTTTCTGAACCATGAATATTTGCTTGATGCCCATTTAAAAATATTTCAATTTACTGTTAAGGAAATCCATCCAAAGTTCAACTTCATTTTAAGAGTGTAGAAGAGATGTTGTAGTCTATTCAACAGACAAAGGAGGGGATACATTTCTAAGAGCATTTGACACTGCATGTATCTTACAAAAGTCCTTGCCAATGGCCAGTCTTCAATTTGGAGCTCTTTAGTGATCATGCATAAAACTGGTTCAGGGAGATGATCAAATGGAAAACTAATCCTCCAAAAAACAAGGCTTAGTTTAGATTAGCCCCTTGAGCCAGTTTAAGAATTGTGCTAGTGTAAGGAAAAGCATGGGTTGGGGTGGCACATAGTGGGTAGTGACTGGGATAACTGTCTGTGGAAATGTGGCCTATATGCATTTGGGTTCTCCCACACTGGAGAGTCCCAAATGTAGGCTGGGACTTCCTTACAAGCATGTACTTGGGGTTTATAATGTGCAAAGTAAGAAAACAGTTGTGGAAGCAGCTTTGGATCCATGTGTAACTGGTAAAACACACTCCTCCAGCTCAGCCAAATGTCTGCCTTTTATTTGAACAAACAAATAAATAAAATGTTGTTTTGGCACAGTGAGTTCCAGGGAACTGAGCATAGAAAGATGATGCCAGATTGACTCAAATGTACCTCCTCTATTCCCATCAAAAGAGCTGATTTTTTGTTGTATTTATCTTTTCTGTGAGGCATTCAATTTATCTTCTCTGTGAGGCAAGATAATATGACGGAGGCGATTTCACAGTCCTGGTACCTAACTGTCAGTAAGACTCTTGAAAACATGCAAACTATTATTCAGTATTTGTGGGCAAAACCAATAGAGAAGGTTATGACTGATTATGCCACTACTTTAGAGGCAGCACCATGGATTTTGAAATTCCATGGGGTGTTCTTCTTTTGGTATTTAACAGTATTCTGAATATTTGCAATTTAAGAAAATTAGAAATGTTAAAAATGAGAAATCATATGTATGAAAATTCTTTACTATCCAACCTCTGGCCCCCTCAATGCTTTCATATGAGCTCAGTTTTAAAGGGAAATGATTCCACAGATGCCACTAATCTCTTTTCCACATTTTAAAAGCAAGCAGATGTGTAAGTGATTTTGAATTAGAGAAGAAATCAGAGCGCATAGCTGAAAGACAAAAAACTATTAAATGTCTTGAGAAAAACAAACAAACAAACAAACAAAAAACCACACCACCAACACCACCAACAACAAAAAAACACTCTTTGTTCACAATAAAATTCACCAGTTTCTATTAATTTAGGTCTAGGACGTTTTGTAACTACTATCTACTCTAGTGATTCACAACAAGTTGTCCTTTTAAAATTTGTTATTGTAAAGAAAGAAGGATAAAATAAGAGCCAAAAGAACTTGGCTCTGCATGTGTAACAAGTTTTAGGGTATCTTATTTGCACCTTTGTTACTCGTGGCTTACCATAACTAGTTGTGGTATACTTCTACATCAAGAATAATCACAATACAAATTATAATACGTAATAGGCAGCCAGGATTCTACTACAGCATGGAGCAAATCCCTGTGAGAGAGACAGTTCTGGGAAAAGTGCTTTGGATGAAGCTTGTGATGATGAAATGAAAGAACTGCTTAAGTCTTATGGTGCTATTGACTCTGTACTTCCTGTTGCAACTGCTGAGGTTACAGGTATGTTGGTTTCGTAATGTAAAAAATAGGATTATCATGTAATTCATAGGATCTGTAGTCTTAGTGCAGAACTGTGCATTAGATTGCTGCTGATTTGCAAAGCTGCATACTGCCTGGCACAGGTATGTTTAACTCTGTTAACAACTGATTAGGATTTATTTATTTATTTTCAGAAAATAGGCTGCATGTTTGTTTTTTTTTTTCCTCCTGAGAATCTAAGGAATAAGGACATATTTGTCTCTTCAGATTTTCATTGGCATCCATACTTTCTTTTACAGGACCTTTGTGTTTTTTTTTTTAATTGTAGCTTTAAAGACTATGCTGCCTAAAAACGATCTCATTTGCATATACAAGATATCTTTTTTCATAGTATGATCTGACATTACATTTTTGTAATCTGTGTGAGCTAATTTAACCTATGGTGCAATTTCCTCCTGCACTTTCATTTTTAATTATATTTCTTCTTCTTCTTCTTTTTTTTTTTTTTTAATTGCAAAGAGACGAACTGTCTTAGGGTAAGAAGACCAAAAAGTTGTTCTGAGTGCTGCAAAAATGATGATGCAGCTTTGAAGCGACAGAATGAGAAATCCTGTGTGGTGAGTATGGACAATAGAAGAGTTTTGTTACATTGCTTCATAGTGTAGTACTGTATAGCATCATTTACTGACTGAATAACATAAAAATGTCTGAATAACATTAGAATCTATGTAAAGAACAGTATGATGCTCAGTAAATAATAAATTTGTGGATTATCACTTCTCTCAGTTCATGATTTCCATGTATTTATACTTATTGTGCAAATAGTAGGCAACATACAGACATTTTTTATTCCTTATATGAATAGAAAAAGGTGAGGAATCCTGGGCCTTTTCAACACATTTCCAAAATGGCTCTTTGAAAGTGTAATGATTTTTCTTCATAATGAAGGCATTTAGAAATTGTTTAATCTTTGTTTAAAACACCAGCAAAGACTTTTGCAAAAGTTTTATGTGCAAGTTTTATGTTTTACCCATATGCTGTATGTATGTTGTCTAGGTGATAATTTCATGGTGAAATTCACTATCTAATCCCTGCAGTACACTCAGAGGTGGGACTCTGAGCAAAGACAAGTCTGAACTCCTGGGCAAAACCAGGCTGTGAAAACCCCTTGCAGAGCATAGCTTTGGTACTATGCGTATCTGTTGTATCAGTGCCCCCATGACCTTCTCACAGAAGCTGCTCCCTACCTGGAATGACCCGAGTCCACCAGTACTTATCCTGCAGGCCATGCAGGATATGGTGCATTTGACCCTACTTATTGCTATAACTCTTGTATTTGTTGACAGGAGTCTGTTGTAGCCATACAAGACACCAAAAAGAAGCAGAAAGAACTGTTGCTACTTGAACTGAGAACTTCCAAAGATGCAGGTTGATGTAAATTCAAGTTGTTTCAGTTATTTTTTGTAAATATCTAATATCATCACTTTAGAAATAGTATTGCAAGTAACAAGTAATGGTATTTACATGTCTCCTTTGGAATATATAGTTTGACAATAAGAATTTAATAGCAGTTCTCAGATAAGTGTATTTACTTGAATAGAATCATAGAACTATAGAATATCCCAAGTTGGAAGGGACTTACAAGGATCATTGAGTCCAACCCCTGGCTCCACACAGGTCTACCCAAAAATCAGAATTCAGACCATATGACTGCAAGCATAGTCCAAACACTTCTTAAACTCTGATAGGTTATGGTGCTTTGACTCCCTAGGGAGCCTGTTCCATTGCATGACCACCCTCTCAGTGAGAAACCTCTTCCTGATATCCAACCTGAACCTCCTCTCTCACAGCTTGACTCCATTCCCTCGGGTCCTATTGCTGGTTCCCAGAGAGCAGAGCTCAGTGCCTGCCCCTACACTCCCCTCCTGAGGAAGCTGTAGACTGTAATGAGGTCTCCCCTCAGCTTGCTCTTTCCCAGGCTGAACAACGCAAGTGACCTCAGCCGCTCCTTGTATGTCTTCCCTTTTACTTCCCATTTACAAAAGAATGAATATAATAATAAAAAAGGGAAGCGTGCCACTTGGAGGCATGGAAATATTATATGTTTCAAATCAGCTTAATCATATAAATAAGGATCATCAGATAAAAATGCACACTGTTGGTCAGTGACAAGTATGAGATTCTTTTGGAGCCCCTCCATGATCATGAATATGTGCCTGTAATAGTAAAAAATAATGGATGCAGCATTTTCATTCTCGTGCAAATGCACTTTCAGGAGCCTAAAATAATTTATGAGGGTAAAAAATACGGCAAACATTATTGATGATGGGCAGTTTCAGAAATGCTGGTGCCTGGAGGTGTAATTTGTCTTAGTCTATCAAATCTCAGTTCAGATTAGTCTCCAGAGACAACTAAGTGACCCTGACTTCCTAAAACATCATGATGCTGGTGCTGCATAGCTGTTTAAGCATATTGTGTCTGTGCCATGACTGTTTAAGTGGCAAAGCTTGCTGCAGGAAGACTTTTGAAAAAAGAGTCTCCCCAGTTGCCTCTGCCAGCTAGATGGGACTGTGTACTTCACAGCAGATCATGCACATTAAAAAGTTTTGCTTCCTGACAGAAAAGAAAGTTTTATTTATTTATTTATTTCCCTGAAAATGGCTTGGAGCTTTCGAATTATATTTAAAATATACCTTCAAAAGTAAATGTGAAGTATGGAATTGTGCAGATTTGTAGTCTCCAAGTCAAATGTACGGATTATGAGCTGTTAATTAAAATCATATTTGCTTGAAAAATGTTCAACAAAGAGACATATGATAGGCAGAAATCTGTATGCATGTTAAAGCTTTGTGCATGATAAGGCCGAAACAAAGATCTGTGCAATTTCATAAATGAGGAAAAGAAAAGTATCAGACTATTACTCTTTAGGGATATGAATGAAATGAACATGATGATTGGTATAGACTGCTAAGACTTTAATAATGTAGCACCTCTTAAATGAAATCATGGTTACTACTTGTGGAGAAGCTCAAGACTGAACAAGAATATAGAATTATATTGACAAATTTGCAGCATAGAATAAAACCATCAAGGTGTTTACATGGAGTACAATTTACTCTAAAAAATAGATTCAAATTCTCTACTAAGTTACGTTAAGCTTACATCTGAGGGTTGTGAGGTACTGGAGCTGGTTGCCCAGAGAAGCTGTGGATGCACCATACCTGGAGGTGTCTAAGGCCAGGCTGGATGGGGCTTTGGGCAGCCTGGTCTGGTGGGATTTGTCCCTGCCCATGGCAGGGGGTTGGAACTAGATGGTGTTTAAGGTCCTTTCCAACAAACCATTCCGTGATTCTATGATTAATAACAGTAGTATTTTAATATTTTTTCTATTTTAAAAAAATGAGTACTGGTAGATACTGTGAAATAAGTTATTGGAAACATAAATGCAATTTTAATAATATAATTATCCAGTTTCTGTAATAATGGAGATTTCATATCTCCTCTTTTATAATCTTAGAAATGAGATTATATGTTTACTGTATTATTCCAGTGGTATCTCCTGATCATGACTTCTGAGCTCTCTTTTCGATATATGTCTAAGAAAATGAGATATAGAGAAGAAATTTTAATCGTTTCTCTTATTTCAGAAAAATATGGCTAACAAATGTGACAATTTCTAATCATATTTTGTCTTGTACTATGTATTAGATAGTATGTAGGACTGTGATACATACGTTTTTAGCATATATTAAACTAAGATCAGTCTAAACTCATGAAACTGTTTTATAATACTAAAATACAAATGTTTTAGCTACCTTCTTACACTTTTGTAACTTCCGCATGGAGCCTCACATACCGTTATTGTTATGCAACTCCTTGCAACACAAATAAACTTCAAAAAAGTTTCAGTTCTTACCAGCCACAGGGCAGTTCTTTAATTTGTCCTGTTCTCATAATGACTTTCTTGCCTAGGCACTTGCACCTCAAAATTTTCTGATACTCAGACTACTTCAGTTTAAATTGAACTTGTGTTTAGTTCTTCCTGGGAGCATTTTCTTTGGAAATTCTCTACTTGTAAATAGCTTTTAATGTGAATGACTGTATTAGGTTATGCTGTAAAAATATGTTTGTACTTTGGCTGTGCATTTGCTACATCAAAAATGTTATTACTATTATTATTTTCTAATTCTTATTGCCATCATAATTTTGATTATATCAAAATATTGGACAGATGCGTATGTCCAAAGGCTGTGTCAGATACAAAATACTTTGAATGAAATGTTTGCAAAACAGAAGACAGAAAGGGATGCCCTTGCTAAAAAATACAGGTACGTGGAATACTAGGTTTGTATTTACAGGAATTCTTTAAAGCAGTACTGATAGATGTAATTAGAAGTATACAGTAGTGTGAAAGCAAAAATACGCGCTCCTCATTTAGATTTTGCTGAGTCTTTATCGATATTGGTTTCAGTTACTTCCAGTAAGAGGTAAATTACACAGAATATGTAAAATATGAGAAAGAAAGAGTTTTATGTGAAGAGAAGTTAGGGTTCCAAACTATCCTTGTGAACAAGCTAGTGACGGCATTAAAAAACAAGGACAACATAATTAATTTAATATTTTCACAGTTTTATCTGTCTTCTAATATTGAGAATTAAACTGTTCTAGAGAAAAATGATAAAAATTTCTGGGTATTGCAGATACCCTGCAGCTAATGCAACAGCTGTCCATCAACAGTAATGAGCCAAGTTACATTATATTTCCTTTTTATTATTTATACGGTATAAAGTTTATTTTAAACTAATTAACATAAGCTTTTGCCATGCAAGATATGAATATACAGAATATGTGGAAGCATCATCATGTTTTTTTATCTTTCTGTTATTCACTTAGTTGGCCCAGGGAGAGATACTACTTACATGTATACTTCTCCATTTCAGTATGTTCCTTTGAAGATATTAAAATGTTTCTCTCACCTAAGAAAAATGAGGGGAAAAAAGCACTGTATTTCTCAGTGGCTGTAAATTGCTTTGCCTTTGTCATTCTGGTTGCACTATCTTTGCTTTGTACTTTCTCTTCAGTTGCAGCTTCTTTCTGTGCCTCTTTGGCAATAAAGCAACAAAACTTCCCAGAGAAACAGTGCTAGAAAAATGTGTGGAGCCCCACAGGCTTCTGTGGTATTCTGTAGTTGTCAAGGCTTACTAATATCAGTGATCAATGATATGCTGATACACTGATCAAATCATGGATTCTAAGCACATGACAGCAAGCAATACCATGGTACAGCATGGAACACCAATACAGTCACATTGTTATTTATCTGTCCTTGTTCTATACGAACTAGTCTTGCAGTACCTCTGTCCTGATCCCCTCTACAGCCTCTCTTTTCTCGGATTGGGATAGTGTTACTTGCACGGCATCTCTGCTGTGGGTGGAGTTAAAAGCAAATTGCACTGCTGTTCCTTTGCCCATACTTAGTGGTATTCCTCTGTCTTTCCAGCAAGGAGACAGAGCAATGGTGCAATCAATTGTCTCATGGGGGGAGATGAGGAGAAAAGAGTATTAGTCCATGCTGGTAGTTCTTGTGCCAAAATAAGTGGGAAAACAAGGAATTCCCTTCTAGCAGAAGGTGAATCCCTGGAAAGAGTCTTACAGGGAGACCAGCTCAACCAGGACCAGCTCAACCAGGAAGCAAGACCTGATGAAGGGAAAGAGATTTCCAAACTGGCATACAGCTTCCTAAAATGCTTTTGTCTGAATAGTCATGTGATATTATTACAGTTTTGGCATTCACTAAATGTTTTACAGCGGAAGACCATAAAAATGTCTGATAGTACTTCCATGCTTCCTTTAGAAATTTATTCTAAGCTCATTGTAAAAGGCTCCAAACCTGAGCTGCAAAGGCTTTGAATTCAATGAACCATTGCTACTTGCAATGATAAAAGGCTGGCCAATGGTAATAGAGACCCAGGTTAGATTCTAGGAGTGAAGGGTGGTATAAGGTTTTTGCTGTAGTTTTGGTGCTTTCATGCTACATCTAGACAGAATTATGCAGTTTGTTGTGCATGAAACCTTGGATCTGACCCATAAACTTTATACATGATTATACATTGCTCAAATTTTAGATGTTGGTAAAGTCCTTTGAAACCTACTTTGTTTTTAGTGAGTTACATATGTCATACTGTTTTTGTTCTCTATTCATAGTAACTATGGGGTCTTTAATAAGACTTTTCTAATTTTCTGTAGGGCTTCAGTGGAATCTTTTAAGAAGGGAGCACTGAGGGAACAAGTAGTAAACCTTGCTTCCAGGCAAAAGAGTCTGTTGACTGTTGCCCAAAACCAGGAGGAGTTAGTCCAGAAAATACAAAATTACAGAAAAACAAAGCAAGTATTCAGAGCAGCACAATTAGAGCACCAATTCTCAAACACAGTTTTTTCCTATGGAAATGGTAAAGGACCAGGTTTAGCTGCTGATGAAATCATGCATCCTGATGTAGTTACATCTGATACGGGGCTTGGTGCCAGCATGCCTAATGGAAACAGAGTAGAAGCACATCTCTCTTTAGAAAATAGATTTTCAGCTCAGGAATGCAGCCAACATCCAAACAACTGCTTGGCTGAGAGAGAAGCAAATAAAGAAGCAATTAGAAGCAAAGAGGTTTCTGATCATACTTCTACATCTAAAAAGACGATAAGAAAATACCCTTTCAATACTTTGTCAAATGCTGTAGAAGTGGTGACTGTGTCTTCAGAAACTGCTGGTTCCACTACTCAAACAAAGAATTCACAGCAAAATAACATTGATTGTGTAGCAGTTGCAGAGCAAGGAAACAAGTCTTTACATCCCACTTCAGTGACCAACACATTAAATATTTCAGAAGCCCGAAGCACTGTTGTCAATAACAATGTTTGTCAGCCAGGCAGTGACTGTCAGTGGGTTCTTACAGATGAGGATCTACGCAGATATGTAAATAAGAAAGAAGTTTTCCAGCAGCAGCACCAGCAAGTAATTGTGTCAACATCCACAGAGAACTTTCCAAATACTCGGCAGAAAATGATCTTTCAGTGCAGTGAGAACCCATTTAATGACAACTTAGTGCTTACAAATCTTACATCAAACACAGATTATCCAGCAAGCCTTAGTAAGAAATCTTCCCAGGGCTATAGTTATCAGGAATGTGAACAAAAACAAGTGAAGTATGAAAGAAAAAACAAGAAGAAGCTTCAGTTGATAGATCTTCTTCAGTTGGGAAGGATTAAGCCAGGAGAAAATGTTTTAGAATTCAAACTGCAGGTAATTGTTGAGATAGAACAATGCTAATATTAGCAAATAATTAAAAAACACTAAAATGGGGAAACAGCAGTCTGTATCTTCAGCTTTTGGTAGTGAAAAATTTTATACATTAGTCACGGATAGTTTTTTATGTGTTTTGAGGGAAAATGCTACATATAATGTATTCTGTTATCCCATGACTTTAACACCCAAAACACTGAATATGTAAAGTTTGTGTTTAACTTTGCATTATTGGTTTCTTAGTACTTCCTATTGCTAAAAAACAGGGTGGAATTGTTAGTTGGTCTACATTGTGTAATACCCAGCTTTCAGACTGAAAGGAGGGGGTACGTTAAAGTCCTTATGACTATGTGATTTTTGAAGCAACTGTCAGGTCCCTCAAATAAATTAATGTAACACTAAGGATTTCACTGTGCCATGGCAGACATGAAAGCATGCAAAATTACTTGCTTACACGCCAACTGGTTTTGGAGTCTGATGCGAACCACATTTTCAAAAAGTAAAAGTAAAATCAACCTCTTTTTAATATAAAAACATGCCCCCATGCTTCCAAATACAAAGCAGATTTGTAAGACAGCTGCCAGGGAACTGGCTTTGTATTGAGTAAATGATGGAATTATTGACTGAATTCCCAGCTGTGAGCTAGTTGATTTCCAGGGCAACATATTGACTAAAATATGAAAGGTTCTTTTCAGCTAATCAGGTATAGTTAATGTAGAAAAGACCCTCATTTATGCACCTACAATCTGCTCAGGAATGCTTTTCTGCTGAGAGCAGCTGTTTGGTGTGTTACTGTGATTAGTAACATAAGACAGTGTTAGCAAGTTACAGCTCTCTACACTGAGTCCTGTCATAGATCTATACACATTCTTCATATTGTGGAAGGAAATGTAATATTCCTCCAAACCCCAAGATGACTAATTTCAAGGATGAAGAATTTGGTATGCTTACTGTTGTATCTGAAGACCATTACCTATGATATCAGCCTGATACATGTAGGTGTGAGGAATTATAACCCTAGTTTGAAATGTTGATGGTGGGGGTTTAGAGAAGTCAGTGGTTTTTAGTAGAATGAAAATGGCACTCATTTATGTCTTAGAAGACAGTGAGTATTGTAGAGATTGGAGTTAAGAAGCCAGTATCCGTTGCACTACAAAGAAGTGATGATCAGTAAAGTTCCCTTCTTTATAGTTACAGTTGTGAGCTATGAGCCTGTAGACTGGATTTAGTGTTCATCAGAATGTTTGGGTTAAACATCTTCATTTAGGTTCTTACAGACACAGAGCCAAGCCATTTGTCGTGGTAGAAGGTAGTTGAATCTGATGGATCATTCTCCTTTTGTGACTGTTTAACCTCGTGCATGCTAGGCAAAGTTAGCAAGTTCTAACAGTCAACAATCAACAATCTACCAATCAACAACTATTTTTTGCTGCGTTAGCCAGTATAACAAGACCAGTATAACAAAACCATAACTTACTGATCTGTAAACAACTGTAAGCCATGTTTCCAGAGGTGCATTTAAGTTTTCAGAACTGGTCTGTGTTAGTATTGTCAAAGAGACAGTAACAATGAATTCTTTTATACTTAATTTTGCATAAGGTAAAGCTGTCAGGTTTCTCCTTTTAATGTCTCTTGATGTAGATGAAGTTTTGTGCAAATATGTTGAATATTTGAATTGCTGTTGGAATTGTACTGTGACATGGATTTATTCCACACATCTAAGAGACTGACTTCGAGTTACATTTTTCTGGGGTTTGAGTTCCTAAGTTCTCTTTTGCAAATTAATTTATTCACAGCTCTGTTATGTCTAAAAGGAAATAAAGTGGAAATACTGTTCTGACAAGCACTTGTTATTAAAAGGAATTTGATCTCAAACCTAGGGGGGGTTGTCCTCTGACAGTGTTAACTATGGGGCCAAAACATCTTATTCTGTTGGAATAGATCCTCTTATCTTATGTATCACACTTTATGATTCATAGTGGCAATTTTTTTTTTTTTTGAGAAAAAACAAGTTAGCTGCAACATTTCAGTTATATCATCCTTCATCATTTTCCCATATTTTAAGGATTTTAATTTAGATTTGTTGATTTGTGAATTAAAAATTCCTCCTTAATTTTTATTTCTTAGGAATTTAGTCATAAAGCCACACTCTTAGAGAATGGCAAGATCAAAACAAGTGAAAACAAAATACTTCAGAATCCAGTTCAGTGGGTTAAAGACCTATTAGGAAGTGATATTTCTGTAACATGGAAATACGTGTGGAACAAGGTAGGCCTGATTTTACTCTCTGAAATAATACTAATAAATAGAAATAACAAATTCCACAAATCTTTAACTCAGAAGGTAAAATGCAGTTAGAAAATATTTTCACCGTTTAGGACCTCTAGTTCTTAGTTCTTAAAACAGAAGACAGTACAAGCCTAAATTGTAAAGTCTTACTGTGAATGAATAAGCAGCAAATAGAGAGGTACATAACCCCAGACAGAGAGGTACATAACCCCAGAAAAAGAGCAGATATACAGTGATGAACTAGTTCAGAGACTGTGGAATGCCCACTCTGTAAGCTCTCAGTGCTTTTAAAGATTAGTTTTAAAAATGATTAAGAGACTGACAGGAAAAGCTGAAAGGTAGTTAAGAGAACAAAAAGGAGCAATCTTATTGAAACGTCAGAGTGTCAGGGACAAATGTTGCAAAAACAGTGGCATGGTTTACAGGGCTTAGCAGATAAAGTATGTTTTGTCAGTCAGAATTCAAATAAGCAGAATTACTGCTTGATATTGATAGACACAGATTAGACTATTATATGCATAAACTCTATACTATAAGAAAAGTAAAAATTTGTCACCTATCAGGAAAGCAAAACAAAACAAAACACAAAGTAATTAGAATGACCAGTTATTGATTTAGATTTGTTTGTACAGGTTATGTATCATGGGACACAGCTGTCAAAACTTCTTGTTGAAGAAGTGCCTGCTTCTAATGACCTGGAATTACCATCACAACAAAGAGAGCCCTTGGGTATGTACCACAAAATCTAATATTCACCATGACTGAAAGCAGCAGAAAGTGATTTCTAAAGAGCTTAAATTCCAATTTCATCCACTGCTTTCTGATTTATTCTTTTCTACATGTGTATTGTAGATCTTGGGCTTGAAACATAGTGACAGAAATTACTAGTTACCTTTAAAGAAGTGCATGTTTCTTTTCTTTCACAATGTGGTTGTGTTGAGAGAATAATTATGACATGGCTGCTATATAAAAATATTTATGTAAAATTTTGTCTAAAATATTTAATATAGAGAAAAAGTGAAGATTTTAATAAGTGAATTTAATACTTTGTTTACTCTGTTGGAAACCCAGATAGATGCATATCTTAATTGTATGTACATATTAAAGTCATACTGAATAATCTGTGTCAGTGGAAATCCTGGTATGTTAAAGCAACATTAATAACTAGGGAGACATGTTATTCTCTAAAAATAATCAGTCATAATAAACAGAGTGCATTAATATGAGAAAATGACATTGAATAGTTTTTTTCAGAACTGCACAGTAGACCTAAGAACTTTAGCCTGATTTTGATAACTAATGTGCTTCCAGGGAAACCCAGGTGTCTTTGACAGTCAGTTGCACTTGGAATCTGAAAAGCTTTTGGGCTCTTGTAATTGGGTCTGTTAATTTGATGAGTCAGTGCACCTCATGTGAACTGGGATACCAGGCTTGGTCTGTTCTTAAGATACTAAAAGTAAATTAAGATATATTCTTGTAAAATATCTAATCTGATATTCAAACTATCATGTTCTACTGATAATTGCTTCAGGATAAGAACACTAAGATGATGAGATTATATTGTCCTGCTTCAGTAGTTAAGTTTTTACGGGGTGTAAGAGACTTAAAAAATGGATTTAGTCTCTATCTTTTTATAGGCTTTTGAATATTTCACTACTTCTTATAAATTTCTCCTTTCATGGAAGATTTGTGATAAATATTATAACTTCTAAAACAGGGAAATCAGTTTCTTCAAAGAATAGTTACTTGAAAAACATAAATCAGACTGGGGATCAGTAAATGTGTTTATTATTATTATTATTATTATTATTATTATTAATCTATTTATTTATTTATTTTCATGCTTTTCATAGACAGCCCAGGGTGTCTAGGGTAATCTAGAAAAGAGTAAATACTCTCTTTGTGTTGTTTTTTTTGAGGTTTTGTGTTCTCAAGTGTAATATAAGGATCATATTAATGTTCAACCGTTAGTCCTAGGTGGGAAATTGAGGAGGGAAAGCTGAAGTGTTCTTGCTTTCAGTTCCATTTCAGATACTACATGGCCAGATACATACTAGGAAATTAAACAGGGTCTTAAAAATTTCCAGGAGATGATTAACCTCTGTTGTTGTACTGTGAGAATGGTTGCAGGTGGTTTGAGAGAGAGCTTATTCCGAGGGCAGCTCCCAAGGGGCACTTTGCCTGCAGTCAGCCTGCTTGAGAGCGTAGGAAGGTTTCTTTATATAGATGCAAGCTACTCACAAGCACACTTCTATTCTCTAATATGTAACATAATAGTCCTAATATGTAATATTATTTTTTAAATATATAATCAAACACTACATGTGTATTTTATAATAGAAGTGTATCTTGCTTATTTGAGGAATAACTCTTTTCTTTTTCTTTCTGAAATAATGAATTGTATTCACTTCAATGCATTCCAGAACACTGCTAGAAGAGAATACTGGGCCTGATGATTTGACTATTTTCAGAGCAGAATGCCATTATTTTAAGTAATACCCTTTCACTTCTTCCAGCTTTCCATATCTTAGCTCAATGTTCTGGTCACTGAGCTATTGTATGAAGAGGATGGGATAATGGGAAGAAAATGATCTGGCAGTGGCTGAATCTAGCCATCATTTAACAGCAAGAAACAGCTACTACTGAATTTTGCATACAGACCAATGTAGGAAGCATGTCCTAAGAACCTTTAATAAATTAAGGCTCTTAGGCAAGACAGGTGAAGGAGTTCCTGTTCTGTGGCTGCTGACAGCATAAGAAAAGTCCTAGTTTTTCATCTTTTTGAGATGGAGGTGCTTCCAGGATTGTATAGTAGCAGATGTTTAGGCCTTTGAGGAAGGTTAATGGAAACTACTTGAAGATCCCATTAAGCAAAGGAATCCCAGACTAAGGTGTTTTTTTTTTTTTTTTTTAAACAGTGTTTAACAGAAGTTTTACAAATTGCAATTTGGGAGTGAATTATCTAAATCCCAACTAAATTGTACTTTAGACACCTATGCCTCTTCTTTAAGTCTGAGCCTTTAGTATCTTGTAGGATCACACTAGCAGGAATTACTGTATTCAAGTCTGAGCGAGAAATAAACATTGAGAAGATATACAATAATTCTAGACTGTCTGTATTTGGAGAAGCAGAATAAACTATGATTATGTGGTTTAGAATTTATTCCTGTGTCCTTTCTGATAAATGCTGTAAAGACATAATGTTTACGAAAAAATGGCCAGGAGTAAGCAAGGATTCAGAAGCAGATGTCAGCTGAAGAGCAGATGTCAGTTGCAGAGCAGATGTTCATTTCAGAGATTATACATTTAAGTGGCTTAAAATAAAAGCATAGCCAGTTTTAACAGCAAGTGTAATACATACATACATTTTCCAGGTTGCTATTTTGGGAAGGTGGTCTTTGGAAAACAGTGTGCCTGCTGCAGTTCTTGGTCCCTGGCAATCCCTGACTGCCTTTAATAGCCATTGGATACCTGCAAATCTTAGAATGACTCCCTACCTTTAGTTTATGAATGATGCAAAAACTATGAGTAATAAAGGGTGTTTTCAAGGAAATTGGGGTGATTTCTTAATGGCTGATCCATGGAAACTGTTTCAGAAGGTTGATGCTAGTATTCAGAAGGTTGATGCTAATACTTCAAGTATTGAGCATGAAATGAGTGGCTGAGCTCAGGAGGATTGCATGAAAGCAAATAAGAGTAGTTTTGTTGTGATCATACATGATACCACATGTTTCTGCTTTCCTTGAGACATGCAGTGAAACTCATGCATATTTAGTAGGCTACTTTTCAAGCTAAATTTGTATGGCATCTAAAGTAATTTTGCCAAGGAGAGAAGAGAATGCCCCAGTCATCCTCTAGCAGCTACAGCTCAGATGTAAAGCAGCAGAAAACCAAAACCTCCTTACGTATTAAAGAATGTCAAGCTGAGTGGAAATTTCAGGATTTGCCTTCAACAAAGATAAAAAGCGTAACTATTCTGTGCGTTAAAGCATTAAACCACCAGCACTAAATAATACTGTTATAAATAAATAGAGCAATGTTGTCTTCATCTTTTTGCATTCCCAGGGAAGAATTTTATCACAAGGGAGCCGAGCAACCACACCCAGCACTGCCTGAGTCAATGCACTGACTCTGTTGCTCTGCCTGTTGGGAGCTTTGACCTGAGCAACATGCGTCCAAGAACTCAGACAGAAACTGTGAAAGCATTGCTATGCACTGGAAGAGAAGCAGCTGAAAGTCTCACAGTTACCAGAGAATCAAGGAGTAAGTTTTGTTGTTTGTTTGTTTATTTTATTAACTGGTTAAAAAAAAAAAAAAAAAGGTGGGGCAGGGGATATAAAGCAGTTATACAAGGAAAAAAGAAAGTAGGTTGAAGGGAATTGATTTGTTTGGGGGAGGGAAGGAGTGCTGGGGAAAAATAATGACTCTGCTGATGGGTTAGATTGATCTGAAAGAGGTAATAATTAAGTTTTTGAGAGCTCTGTATGTTCTACTCTCCTGCATCCAAATTAGAAACATTTTGTTATTTTGATGTAGTTAACAAAATAACTCTATGTCATTTGAAGTATTTAGTTGCTTGTCTCCACAGAGTAAGAGCAAAGACAAATGCTTTCTGGAAGAGAAATATGATATAACAGCACTGTGGAATAATATAATTAGTGTAGTCTAATTCAGAGAGAAGAGAGGAAATGTTACTGAAGATGCTGAGATCTGTGTGGAGTTCACTGAGCTTTTAAATTTGTATTTTCAGTATTACATGCTGATTGCACATTAAACCCTATCTGTAGTATTTGCAGAATTTCAACGGTGCTTACTGCACTTTGAGCTAGCATTTTTGCCTCTACTACTGTTGATTACACAACATCCAGAGGGATGACCACCAACAGCCCTGATCAACAGCAGTGCAGAGTCAGAGCAGTCAGCTCACACCCTCACCATGGCCAGTGTCACTGTGCACTGGAGTGGGTAACAGTGCTGGGTCGGTTCCTGCTATGGCAAACAGGAACAAGGCTGTCTATCAGAGGTGAAGTGTCTACGTCTGTGTCAACCACTGTAAACCAAAAGGGTATCCACACTGTAGAGCGATTCCTTACGATTCTTCAAGACTATAGATAGGCCCTTCAGCTGCAGTACAAAAGATGAAGTAAAACCTGGAGTTGAGAATCTTCTGCAGAAAATGCTTTGTTAGCCTAGTTCTCTGTTTGTTTGTATGCGTGTGTTATAGAAGAAATTAGACTGAGTGTCTTAACTGCCAGGGCAGAATATTTGGAGGGAGGTGGTTTTAAAATCACAAAAGATAGATTATATAATACATTGTCTTAACATTTATGTTTCAACCAACCAACCAAACAGGCTGAACTCTCTTTGATATGAATTGAAAAGTTACACGTTATGGCTCACAGGAGCCGTGTTTCTCTGCTAAACAAATGATTAGCCAGCCATGTTCAGTTTTTCTCAAGGTACGAGTTGTACTTCTGCTTACCAACATAACTGTCTCATAGCATGTGTGGTCCTTGTTGCCCTATTATCTGTGTGCTCAATCCTGTCTGGAAACTTCTAGCAAGAGGGTAGGTTCGTTTTATACAGAAAAGTTCATTTTGTAGACAAAAATCCCCACTCTAACAGACGTGGGGATTATGCAAAAATAAAAATGTATAATAAAATAAAAATTAGTAACTTGGAAATCCACAGTAACATTGTTCTACGTATAGATTTTTTAATTATTTGCTGCAATTACTCTTTTAAGTGAAGGAAGGAACTGCTTATTGTGCAGTATAATTTTTTTAAAAATGTAACAAACAACTCTTTTTCCACTTTTTGAGCTTGCAGAACCCAAACCTTTTGTATCCACTTCTGAGGAGAACCTTTTCAGATTTCAAGTCTGAACAAAAATATTTTTGAATATAAATTATCAAAATCAAACTCTTAGTTAGGAATGAAAATTCTTTAAAAACAAATGTCTCAGTGCATTTTATCAAATCTCTTAAATGAAGCTTTGGAAGTGCCATGAGAACCCATATAGCTCAAAGATGGATTTGCTGTATTGTTTGCCCTTTACATTTGTTTCCGAAGAAACATTCAGATGCACAACGCCACTGCTTCTTTACTTCATGCTAAATAAATTCTGAATGTAAAGCTCAGCCATTTTAAATTGACTTTTAACTAGTTTTCTTTTGCAGCTTCACTAGTCCTGGTAAAATGATAGAAGTGTAATTAATTTCAGTTTTCTTGCTAGTCAGTCTTATCTTCTTGTCCTTACGCAGTAGAGAGTTGTGAGGCTGAAACTGCTGATGTGGCAGGAGAATATTTAAATCCAAGTGCTTCAGAAGAATGAAACAGAACTATGAAGTATATCTATACCTCATAGACAGGTGTAACATTAGGGTACTATTAAACATCGCATATACGTATTGGCAAGAATCTTCCATTAGATTTTAAATCATGAACTCTTCAGAAGAGGGATCTCTTTGCTTCATTGAACTTGTTGAAATATTACTTAGGTATTACTCCAAAACCCAAATCTGGCCCAGTGTAGTTTATATTTCCTTGCCTTAAGTAACTGTAATGTAAAGAAAGGTAACCCGTACTTGAAAGCTTGTAATACTCTTGGTGCTGCATAGAGTTCCAATTCAGAGCTCCAGATTCTGCAAGGCTTAGAGAACTAAGTCAGAAACTACTTTCAGTGAAAAACTCTACAACTATTATCTTAATATTTTTGGAGAATAGCTGAAAAAGATCTTGAACATTTAGTGATTCCAAAATCAGTATGTGAATCAAGAACCCCAAGATTAATTTTCCTTTTTTTTTTTTTTTTTTTTTTTTTTTTGGTGGGGGGTGAGGGTGGGGGAAGACACACAAAACATCATGACTCAAAGGACTTGACTCTGTATATCTGAATTTTGTGGTTGGGAATTACTGAAGTAGTGGCCCACCATCACCATCAATAATGGCAATAACTATATGGAAAAGGAGAAGTACAGAGAAGTGTAAAAAAAAAAAAAGTCCACAGCATCTTACAAATGTGCTTCCTGCATTTAATAGATGTGTCTTCCTTGTTACCTGTAGCAGAATATTCATTAACCACACAATGTCCTTGTTTATGTGATTGTAAAAGACAGGGGCATGTACTATATATTATTTATATTTTCTGCTACTTTATATTTTGTACTTTGGAAGCAGTGTGAGATCATAGACTAATACTTCTATCCAGAATATTTTTCCGTCTCAGTTATTTCATGGTACAGCTATTATTTGAGTTCTGGCTTCAAAAATTTATTTTTGATAGTGTTTGAATGCATGCTGTGTTCTCTTCTTTACGACTTACAGACAAAATATTTAAAAATATTTTCCAGCACTTCTAAGTTCCAGACGTTTGCTTTAGGTAGTTACATACTTTATGAAGAAGCAAATAGTTCTGTCAGCACAATTTACAAAGCTGTATTTTCCAGTAACTTTGCATGCCATTACTGAAGTATAGGCTTATTCCTTCTGCACATTTTTCCTTTCCAAAATCCTCTACCTGCTCTTATGTGACTGCCAGCAAGGTAAAAGGCAGAATGTTGTGTGACTGACTGGGAGTTGAGCTGAGTGGCTAGCAAGAACCAAAAATTCACTTTTGAGGTGGTCAAAAAAGGAAAAACAAGAAAAAGTTCTCAAGGACTACATGTTGTGGAAACCAATTGTAAGATTTTAATTTCTGTGATTTCTTACCTGTTTTTTTTTTTAATTAATTCATTTCTGAAACTGGAACATCACTTCAAAAGTAACTAGGTGACGGTGAGAGTGATTTCACAGAACCATAGACTAATGTAGGTCAGATGGCACCTCTGGAGGTCTCCAGCCCTGCCTCTTGCTCAAAGCGGGGCCAACTTCCAAGCTATATAAGGTTGCTCCAGGCCTTGCCCAGTCAATTTCTGAATATCTTCAAGGATGGATGTTCCACAACGTCTCTGTACAAGCTGTTCCAGTGCTTGACCATGCTCATGGTGACTTTTTTTCCATATATCTAGTTGGAATCTTATATGTTAAAATTACTGACAATTGCTTCTTTTTCCTCTGCATAAGAGACTCATTTTCTTAGGAAGTCTGGTAAAAGTAGGTAAACTGACTCCTAAAAGCTTTAAGCAGTGGCTCTCTGGCCTTTTTATTTTGTGAAAATAAATAAATAAATAAATAAATAAATAAATAAATAAATAAATAAATAAATAAACAAATAAGGTGTAAGGGAAATCCTTTGATAACTGACCTTTCAGTTGCACATAGCAGCTTTTCATCTGCTTTGGTGGTCCTGTGGAGACTGCAAGAAGACTAAGACAAACAGAACTGTTGTAGATAACGTTCCAAATACACATCAGTCTTTTTTCTACCTTACTCAAGAAAGCAATAAATGAAAAGCAATGTGATTAACAGCAAGCCTCAAGAGGAAGTGCTTTCAGCTGCTGTGTTGCTTGAAACAGGGAAAAGACAGACTTTTTTTTTTTTTTGGTCAAATTAAGGGTATTAGTAGACAACCTCATACCTCATAATCTTACCTTGATGAGCATTTGGGTAATACTGCACTTTTTTTTCTTTTTTTTCTTTTTTTTCTTTTTTTTCTTTTTTTTTCTTTTTTTTCAGGACCAATTTTTCACGAAGTTGGAACAAATCTTCTAAGGAAAACAATTCAGTGTTTAAATCACCACACAATAACAGCTAGGGAGAAGTCTCTAGAAGTTGTTCTGAGACTCCACATAAAATCCATTGAATGAATCACAGCTCTTGTAGATTTTGCCAGTGCACAAAAAGCATGAACTATTGGTTTTTCTATCAAATAATTGTTCTGACCTGAGCTGTAAATTGACTTATACGTTATCTTCTGTTTCTTCCAATCTACAATTCATTGTGCTGTAAATTGTGAGAATTTTAAAGTGATACTTTTTAATTACTCAGGGTTGTTTCTGGAGCTGGTTCTTACTAATTTGGCACATTAAACTCAGGCTTTCTAAAATGCTTAGAAATAATTTTAGAGAATTCTGTATTTGCCTTCCATATGAGTACACAAATGAATTATTGTCTAATCAAGTATAAAATAATAGCTCAAAATAGTAAGTCTAAAAAGAGAGAAGCCTGTGGTGAGAACCTGCAGCCTGATAGTCAGAGCGAGAAATAGTCTCCTATTAATCCTTTTAGAGCAATCTTACTGCCTTTTAATAAATGATATTGGTAAATGCACTGATATCGGTAAATGCATTTGTTGGAGAATTTAGTAATTCGGTATTTCAGTA